TAGAATAGAATAGAATAGAATAGAATAGAATAGAATAGAATAGAATACTTTTATTGGCCAAGTGTGATTGGACACACAAGGAATTTGTCTTGGTGTAAATACTCTCAGAATACATAAAGAAAAGATACATTTGTTAAGAATCAAGAATCATAACGTACAACACATAATGATAGTCATAGGGTACAATCAACAATCCAATCACACTAGGAAACAGTCAATTTAAATCGTAAGGATACAAGCGACAAAGTTACAATCCTACAATCACAAGTGGGAGGGGATGGGTGATAAGGAGTGATGAGATGGTTAACAGTAATAGTAGTGTACACTTTGTAAATAGTTGAACAGAGTTGAGGGAATTATTTGTTTAGCAGAGTGATGGCTTTCGGGGGAAAAAACTGTTCTTGTGTCTAGTTGTTCTGGTGTGCAGTGCTCTATAGCATCGTTTTGAGGGTTACTTCAAGGTTGAAGTTTCTGTCATCCTTAATCTGTACCACACAGTCCAAGAACACCAGACTGTTTTCTTTAACATCTTCCCATGTGAACTTGATGTATCTGTCTACAGAGTTGATGTCTTTGGTGAAGGCATCCACTTCCTGTGTTTTAATCTTGACCCAAGTATCATCCACATATCTATACTACTGAATGAGTGGGCTTCCTGTGAAGAAGTTTAGGGCTTTGGTTTCTATTTCTTCCATGTAGAGATTGGCCACAGCGGGGTAAACTGTGGCAGAGCCATGTTTTTGTCTGTAGAAACTTTCATTGTATTTAAAATAGAAAGTGGTCAGGCAGAGATCCAACATGGTACATATGTGGTCTGGACTGATGTTGCTTCTTACAGCTTCAGTTGTTGAAATAGAGGTGAAGAATGAAGTGACATTGTCAGCAAAGAAATGACTGCTACTGGACAGTACAATTACAGCTGAAACAGAGACTGTAGTCCTTTATTAAAGTAATAATAATACCCTCTAGTGCAGGGGTGTCAAACTCACGTCATCACAGTGGCATCACATGACATATCACGACTTTTTTCCCCTTCGCTATACCGGGCGTGGGCGTGGCCGGCGCGTGACACAATCAGCCCACAGGCCATGAGTTTGACAGCCCTGCTCTAGTGTCAACAAGTCTTTTTATGCTATTACTTTATGGTGAAAACTAAAACATACACTATAAGAAATATCAGTATTATTTCGACTGTGTACTATCAAGACTTGATCTGTAATTTACAAATGAATGGTAAACTCTGTCTCTTAAATGTTGTGTGTACAATAGTAGCAAAACAAAATTTTCACAGTGTAGTAAAATAATACCATTCTGGGACTACTCTCATTTGTAGTGGCAAGCAAGCATTTGGATCTCAGACAATATCCATCCTTACCAGTCACAAAGAACTTGCATTTTCTGTTTAGACTACCATACAGATGCCATAACCTTGACATGCCTGGGAATGTGACACACAATTGTGTAGTTCCAGTAACTGTTATCTATAAACAGTCTGGGGGCTATGAAAAGGTTTCTGTTTTGTACAAGAGATAGTGGCCTTTCATACTCAGAAATGCTTGTTCATGCATTAGGCTTCCTGATTTTAATGAGGTCATTCTTGGTTGTTGGACATTTGTTTGTTTTTAAAATATAAACTACTTTTGTATTGTGCATGGTAATTATAGAGACACAACTTTAAAAAACTTAAATGGCTGTTTTTGAACAGCTGTCCTTATAATGCTGCAAGTAAGAAAGAGGTTTCTGCCTGTGTAGAGAACTGAAAGGTTAACAAAATATTGGTAAGTAGTTATGATTGTCACAAGGAGGACTGCTGGGAAAAGGGAGAAATTGTTGTGTCTACTTGAATTTACTCCCACATATTTTCAGCCCAACAGTGAAGGATGTAAAGTTTTCCTTCTCTGTTTATCTTTCTACAAAATTCTAAACCACTGCATTCATTAAATATCTACAAGAGAAGATTTTAGATATATTTAATTTTATTCCTATGAGCTCTAGAATGATAGCAAATTATATCAACAATTATATATGTTGGATTTATCTCTAATGCATAATTTTTCTTGAACTTAAAAACAAAAACAGTAGGAAGTATTTAAAAGACATGCCATCTGGGAAAATCCAGGACTGTAGCTAGATTGGGAAATTAGGAGAAAAAAAACATACTAGAAGAAGGCAGTATCAAAAACTTGGCTATCATTTCCAAGAAAATTGCATGGCTAGGACCAAGTAGGATGCCATAGTTCAGTTCACTTCAAAGGTGACTTTATTTCATTATTATTTTTTTTACTGCTGAGTCCATTCTTATTCTGAGATCCCTTCTTCAAATTTACATTTGAATGGTCTGAACTTATAAATGTTTCTGTTCCCTTGGGCAGGGCAGGGTTTAATTCTGTTGTGCTTAAACAATAGAACAGGGGTGTCAAACTTGATTTCATTGAGGGCCACATCAGGGTTGTGTTTGATCTCAGGGGGGCTAGGAAGGTATGGCCAGGGTGCATGTGGCCAACTCGACATCACTCAGGTTGGGGGGCCCCGTGGTGTCCCAAATGCTCTGCCAATGAAAACGGACTCCTGAACTCTGTTTCAGCTGAGATGGCTTCCTCCAATCCTCTGCCAGTGAAAACGGAGCTCAGGAGGGTCATGAGCAGCCCCCCCCAGCTCTGTTTTTGCTGGCAGAGGCACTGTGGGCCAGTCCTTCGCTGTTTCCAGGGCAGGCCCATGGCCAAATCTAAGTACTCTGCGGGCCGGATCCAGCTCCTGGGCCTTGAGTTTGACACCCCTGCAATAGAAGCTGAGATCTTGGCTAGGTTCACAAAGTATACTAAGGTACAGAGTGGCTTGTTTGGGTTTTAGTTTTGCTTGCAAATAATCAGCTGCTACATAAACTAACCATGTATAAGCAAACCTTAGCTTATATATAAATAGGTAATTCTTTCTACAAATCCTGGTCTACCAAGTGTTGTGCCCAATGAAATATACACTATATTAATGGGAACATAGAATATACCTAGAATAGATAGTGTGATAAAAGTATAATGAATGAGTGTAACTAATATTAAGACAAGAAGTGCACCCCTGCCTTGGTTTTTTTAATGATAATATTTCTGTTCTTCTTAATAGACAGACTTGAAAATTACTGTGAAGCATATAATATTGGCCTTGAAGGAGCTAAAGTGTTTTCTGGTTCCCGAAATGAACAATTTGGATATTTAGTTCAACAGATTGCAAACCAAGAAGGCAAATGGTAAGCATTACTATACTTTCTGCCCAATAAAGGAGAAGATGGAAAGGATCAAGTATTTTTAGTTTTTATTTCTTAAGGAAATGATAATTGGGTTTCTTTTTTTATTTTTCTCCTCGTTTTTTAAAAAAGCTGTGGATAAAATTAACACATATACATTTAAATCTTTCTATTCCCTTTTAGAGTAACCAACCTTATGCAAAATATTGAAAAGAACTAAATAATTCAAAGAAATTAAGGCAGAAGGTTAAATATAAGGAAATAAGCCATGCCTCTGGTTTACAAGGCTACTCCTCAATATACATCTTCCTATTTTTATACCTTTACAAGACATTCTTGCTTTTACCACATCCACTTAAAGATAGATGTATTCTTTTTTCTTTAAAATTCTCACTTTTCTATATCTGAGGATCCAACGATGGCTTTTTCAGTCTTTCTCTTCTTTTTGATCATTTATTTTTCCTTCTGTCTTTGATTTGTGATTCAGTTCTCATTCATTCTTTCTGTACAAACCCTCTCCAAATGAATCTGTCATCCGGGTCATTCTCTTTTGTATTGAACCGACACAGGTAATCTTCGATTTATGACCACAATTGAGACCAAAGTTTCCATTGCTAAACAAGACAGTTATGAGTTTAGCCCCATGTTACAACTTTTCTAGCCACAGTTGTTAAGTGAAACACTGCAGTTGTTAAGTTAGTATCACAATTGTTAAGTGAATCTGGTTTCCCCATTGACTTTGCTTGTCAGAAGGTCACGAAAGGAGATCACGTGACTTTGGGACATTGCAACCCTCATAAATACATGCCAATTGCTAAGTGTCCAATTTTTGATCACGTGACCATGGGGCTGCTACATGGTGGCAAGTGTGGAAAACTGTCATAAGTCACTTTTTTCAGTTCCATTGTAACTTTGAATGGTCACTAAATGAATGGTTGTAAGTCGACCACTACCTTGTGAGTATTTGCTGTGAGACAATAGAAAAAATGTAACGTTGCAGCTTTAGATAGTATAAGTCTATAAATGTTAAAGTGTGGGACGTGGTTTCTTGATGGAGTTGCTTAGTTTGATAAGTATGCCTAAGATACTTAATCAAAGATGACATTAAGTCAAGTTTGGGAAGAGCGATTTGGCTTTATGCCAGGCAAATGTGCCAATCAGATTTGCCATTTTCAACAGGTCATATGTAAGAGAATAAAGATTAGTGTATCTGTTTTGATTTACAGGAAACAAAATGGCTGATAGGCATGAATTATAGAATTTGTGTGCAAAGGTAGAGTTGAAAAAGGATTGCTGAGCAGCATATGGGGGAAATAAAAATATGCATGAAAATAAGTAGAATATTTAGTGAATAATTTAACATTGAGCATGGAATAAAATAAGGATATATGATGTACCCTTGATGGTTTAATATATTCATTCACAAAAGTATTAGGAACATAAAAAAACTAGAACAAGCAGATAAATTTGTTTACCTTGGTAGGTTGTTCACTAAAGATAGGAAAATGAATGGAAAAACTGCTAAGAAGGTCATGGACAGTCTTCAATCTTTAGCAAGAAGTAAAAAAGTATTAGGCAAAATTAAATGTGACAATGCAAAAGACCTTATGTTTCTGTCCAATATTGTATGTAGAAATAAGAGTTGAGTATGACAGAAAAACTGAATGAAGTGGAAAGAAGAGAAATGTGGATTGAATTAAAATGTGACCGAGTGAATATAAAAGATGTATGTTCACATGGTTTGGACATATTGACATATTGAGAGAACACTGAAGGATTGACTGGCTTCAAAACAATATGTTCCACAGTGAGGAGGGTGGGCAGGAAGGGAAGAGAAAAGATAGCTGGGCCAAAATAAGTTGGGAACTCAACCCAGGTGGGGACAAATCTGGGAAAAGAACTTAGTAGTACTTAAGGAGGAATTAACTCATTAGCAATGAGCCTAAGACATTTTAATGCAGTTTCCAAGGTTCTGTATTTATGCCAGCAGAGCAGGAAATATACTTTTCTAAAATCCATGTATCTTTGGTTATGTGGGACTTGATATGCACTGCTAGGCATTTACTTGGTGCTGCACCCATGTGTATTCTTGAAGAGTGGGTCATAGGCCGATTTACACAACTTATTTTGTATTTAGATCTGTTTCCTGGCACAGTCTTTTTTATGTTTAAACAGCTCTTGATATCACAGAATTTCAATCTATGGCAAGAATATTCTTGAGGACATTATTCAGAAGGCTGACTAATTGTTCTCCACAATAGTTTAGTCACAGTATTGCGTAAAGGAGAGAAACAGTTCATAAAAGTGCAAAAAAATAATGTATAAAACAAAAATGTATGGAGGCTAAATCATACGATGAATGGCTAAGGAAAAAGTAGACACTAGAACACTAAACTATGTCTAGCCTAATGAACAGAAAGCTCAGGAGAGACGTGATAGTCATCTTCCAATGCTTGAAAGGCTGACATAGAGAAGAGGGGGTCAATTTATTCTTCATAGCATCTGATGACAGGACAAGAAGCAATGGGTGGAAGTTCATCAGAGGGAGATCGCACCTGGGAATAAGGAGAAATTTTTTGACAGTGAAAATGATTAATCAATGGAATGGTTTGCTCAGCCAAGTTGTGGGTGCTCCATTGCTGGACATTTTCAAGAAAAGCTTGGACAACCATTTGTCTGGGGTGATATAAGAACTCCTGTCTTGGACAGAGGGTTGGGTTAGAGGACCCCCCCCCCAATGTCCCTTCTAGCCCCATGATTCTCTGTATGTCAGTCAATCAAATGTTTATTGTCAATGCACAATGTGTACAATGAAATTGAAATGTGCATATGTATGTCTATATCTCAAATGTTAATAAAAGAGGGGGGGGAAAGATCAGCAATACATCTTTAACAAGAATTAAAATGTTCCCCCATTTTTTAAAAGAGTGGGAAAAAGGATAGGGGGAAGAGCTAGTGGGTTTCTAACTTCCCCCAGAAAGTCTGGCCAGTGAGCAGATATAAAAACATTAACCAAACTATGGAAATCCATTAAAAAGAAATGGGGCTGAGGTCCTTGAAAAATCACAGTATCAACACAATATCAACCTCCCCTCAATGCCAGAGTTCCATAATCATCCCCATCCCAATACTTTGGGAAAGAGACATATCTTCATGACTTTCTGGAAAATCAGTAGTGAAGGGTGTCCTTATGTTGGGTAGAGGCTGTTCCACAAGAGAGACACCATGATGGAGAAGGTATGCTTTCTAGGAACAAAGTACAAATGCAGAGTAGCTCATCCTATCATTAAATAGCCCTCTTTGGCAAATCCATGTGAAAACCTCCCCAAATACCCACTCTGTAACATTGGAAATGTCTCAGAATTTGCTCTTAAAAATGCATCAATGATAATTTTTTTAAAAAAGAAGTTAGATATAATTTGATATCTACTGTACTTCTGGCACATTATATACTAATTGTAATTTACTCCAAAGCAGACTTTATAGATATGTTCTTCTACCAGGGGTGTCCGCAGGGAGAATATCTACTGTATACGTGTGTGAGACAAATAAAAAATAGATGCTGCTTTGATTGCATCATTGAACCTCTCAAGTTATTTGAATGTCAGGTACAGGTATCTTGCCCCACATACTGCTTTTCTGACTCTTCCAATATAATTGTCATCAGTATTAAAGTGGTTATTGGTGACAAATGATAAAGATACAATCTACCTTTTTGGAGAGCACCATGTAGGAAAAGGCTTCTGGTAGAGCCAAAAATGTGATTTTAAAGGCTAGCATCACATTAACATAAGGGAGGAAGTGGCTAAGATGCTGAGCTTGTCGATCAGAAAGGTCAGCAGTTCGGTGGTTCGAATCCCTAGCACCACTAGGGAGTGAGCTCCTGTTACTTGTCTTAGCTTCTGCCAATCTAGCAGTTTGAAAGCATATAAAAATGCAAGTAGAAAAATAGGGACCACTTTGGTAGGAAGGTAACAGCGTTCCGTGTGCATTTCGGCATTTAGTCATGCTGGCCACATGACTATCAGAGATGTCTTCAGACAGAGCTGGCTCTTCGGCTTTGTAATGAAGATGTGAGCACCACCCCTTAGAGCTGGAAACGACTAGCACGTATGTGCGAGGGGAACCTTTACCTTATCACATTAACAAAGTAGCTCTTTTCAGTTTTTCATTTAAATTGAATTTTCTATCAATTCTGTCAGCACATTTAATAAGAGTTTGTCAATTTTTCAGGTTGCTTGTCTCTTCACCCTGGAGTGAAAATAGAATGGGAGATATCTATAAATGTGCTGTTCATCAACAGGGATCCAAATGTTCCAAGATGGACCTACAGAGTAAGTTGGGTTATTAGTTTGTTGTGATTGGCATTCTTTGGTGGCCACTTTGTAAAATAGCAGCCATTTACTTTCAGCATCCGCATCAGTGGTGGGATTCAAAATGTTTTACTACCGATTCTGCGGGTGTGGTTTGGTAGGCGTGGCATGGCATGGCTTGGTGGGCGGGGTTTTGTGGCTGTGGCGGGGGAGGATACTGCAAAATCTCCATTCCCTCCCCACCCCACTAACCTGCTTTCCAGCTCCATTCTCCTGTGCAGGGCAACAAGAAGACCCAGCCGATCAGCTGGAACTTGGGAATCAGAGAAGAGATGGTGGGGGGCCAGTCAGAGGTGGTATTTGCTGGTTCTCTGAACTACTCAAAATTTCTGCTAACGGTTCTCCAGAACTGGTCAGAATCTGCTGAATACTACCTCTGGTCCACATCTTGCTTTCCAGTGAGTGACCCAGAATCTGAAAAGCCCAGCTGTTTGTCATAATCCCATTGGTGCTGCACCAAATAACAGTCAGCAGTAGATAACTTCTGATAAATTTGGGAATGACACCATTGTGCATTGAGCTGGACTTCCTTCCTCCCCATAATCCATGCACAACCTTGGAGAGATCAAAAGGTGGAGGACTCTTGTTTGGCTTCTCCTTTAGCAAAGGAAACTGTGTTCAGAGACTGGAAAATCATAGATGAATTCCCTCTTCCCTTTGACCAGATAACAGTAAGCTATGGTGTACAAAATATATTTAAAATGCCATTGCTGGCAAGGGAATTCTGGGAGTTGAAGTCCACACACCTTCAAGTTGCCAAGATTGATTACACAACACTACTTTTGCTCCACAGTTTAATTCATAGACCAAGTTTTGTGTTACACTTTTTAATCAATGTATTGCTCAGATTTACTTTCATTTATTCTTTTTAGCTGTTACAAGCATACCAAATGTTAATGAGATAAAGAAGGACATGAACCTAGGATTAACTCTAGTTAGAAATCCAAGAACTGGAGGCTTTTTGGTAAGTATAAAGATATGAGCACTACAAATATAGGTCCTCTCCATCAGTGACAAATTACAGTAGTTTTTATTTCTCTCTGTGCGGATATTGAGCAGGTAATATTCCTGAGCAGTAAATGGGATAAATGACTACAAATATCAATCTGTTTGATATGATACAGGTGTTCCTCAACTTACGACTACAATTGAACCCCAGATTTATGTTAAGTAAAAATTTTGTTAAGTGACTTTCGCTCCATTTTGCGACTTTTCTTGCATGCTTGTTAAGCGAATCACTGCAGTTGTTAAATTAGCAACACGGTTGTTAAGTGAATCTGGTTTCCACATTGACTTTCCTTGTCAGAAGGTCATAAAAGGGGATCACATCACCCCGGGACACAGCAGGGTCATAAATATGAACCAGTTGCCAAGCATTTGAATTTTGATCACATGAGCATGTGGATACTGCAAAGGTAGTAACTGTGAAAAACGGTCATAAGTCCTATTTTTCAGTGCTATTGTAACTTTGAACAGTCACTAAATGAACTGTTGTAAGTCGAGGATTACCTGTATTTAAAGTTGCTTTATGTGTATCATATATAGTACGGAATCTTTCTTTGACTCTTTGGAATTTCACCTATAATCCCAGATTTCACCCACAAAGCCTAGAAACTGCCTGCAATTATCCTCAAGCCAAACATACCTTGATAGTTCAGTTTAATAATCAATTTTTATTTAGGTCATAAACCAACCTATTTCTAAGGTATGTTACAGTTGTGATGTTTTTCTGGGCTGCAACCAAAGTGTATCAGTACAATTTTAAAAAAATGGGTTGAATGTTAAGTAAGGCAGTAGCCATCCACGGTTGGATAGGAAAACAATGAAGAAAACTAAATGTGAGTTTTGCATTTCATTTAACTTGCACATCACATTCAAGAATATTTCAGGATGAGATTTGTGAAGCTTATTTAGTACACTTTTGCCTTTTAACTAGTGTGTGTGTGTGTACATTATTTTTATATTGTAAACTTGGTTGTAGGTACCATTTATATCAATGGTACCTACAACCAGGTTCTAAGACCCAATTCCCCTCTCCGTGTTCCATGTTCATATGTTGGGTGCTCAACAACCAGCCATTTGCAGCAACTCACAGTCACATGACTGCATTTTACAATGTTTTTGCTGAAAACTGGCATTTACTTCCAATATTTTTGGCAAAAATAGCCCCTAGCAAAAAAGGAGTTCACTCTATACTGCATAATGACCAGCACAAAAATGATGCAAAAGCAAATGCCACATGGAGACCCATTTTACAATTGTCATGACTTACGGCTATAATGGGCAGGCTCCATTATAATCATAAGTCATACTGTACTTGGAGTTATTTCTTTAAAATATTTTTAAATCTAATCCTGAGAATTAAATTCTAAATTTAATCTAATTTTACTAAATTTGCATATGTATTTAATGCCAATGCATAAGTCTGAGGAAGCAAACTTAAAAGTAGAGTTCACTTTTGCAGTCCCAGCAACATTTTTTGTGCTTACTGATAATGAGATTTGAACTTACGTTTGGAGAAACCTTTTAGAGTACATTATTTACATAGTCTTGAAAAGTGCAGTTCAGTAGGTTTAGTTTATATATTGCAGACACACAGAATTAAGTCCCTTATGACTTTCCTTGCATTGTGGATAATGTTTCCTCTACTACAGAGACTATTCCAACATAGTGCAGCATTTATGGGAACTACTAAAAGCAGATGCATTGAAAAGTTATGCATACTGCAATATAGATATTTTCAAAAGTTCAACAACTTTATTGGAGTTCAGCTAAATGTTAGCCATCCTTGGTCTATGATGTAATTCAGTTTGTAGTCCTGTTAGAAGTACTTAGTGGTTCCCAATCCTCCCCTAAACCAATCACCAAGATCTTCCTGATCCAACTCATATGTATACATGTGTGATTAATGTTGTGTGTTGTTTTTAATAAATAAATAATTTTAATAACAATTTAAAAATTAAAAACCTTGAGTTTTGCTTTTTTTCTGTGAATTTGTCATTGTCTTTCTTTTTGTTCGCTTGCTTGCTTGTGAAGAGAAGGAAAATGGAACATTGTAGGTTTAAATTAAGAAGGCTGCACAAATAGTTCAAAGCCACAAGTAGGCCAAGCAAAGACCTGGTATATTCCCCATTATATGCCTGATCACTTTCTTGTAATCCTTTCCACTTCAGTTTCTCTGTTCTGCAAGGTGGGGGAAGGGGAGAAAAGGAATGAGTCAGGCACAGGAGAAAGCAAAGGGAGAAAAGCGGGGTGGGGGAAATACTTAGACAATCCCTCCAGTGCACGATCCATTTCCCATTCCATTTTCCATTCGTCTTGCAGAGTGGAGAAATAGGAGAGGACTGGATTACAAGAGAATAAACAAACATGCAATGGGGAATCCCCATCAAAGGGAATGTGCTGGTGCCAGCAGCCCTGAGGGCGCTAGGCAAACATGCCACTCATATGGGCAATACAAGCTCATAACGAGAGATAGTCCAGTGCACCATCAGGCAAAAGACATGGCTCGTGTAGTTTGCTTAGTTTTGGCTTAGTATGAACCTCACCTCTTAAGGCTGAACATAATGCTGGTCCCTTTGGATTGTTCAATGAAGCACATTTTTAAAAAGCTCTGTCATAGCAGCTTGTAAAATCTATGCTATAAATCTGTGCGGGAAGAAAGATCAAAGCTATGTCTGCTCATCAATGCAATGAGTCAGGTGCGTTATTTTTGGTTTTACTTTAGAATATTATTTCTCTTTTTGTTTTTAAGGCATGTGGTCCTTTGTGGGCTCAACAGTGTGGAAGCCAGTACTATGCAACAGGAATCTGTTCTGAATTCAATCCCAGTTTTCAGATCCTGAGAAGTTTTTCACCTGCAGTGCAAAGTAAGGCAATAAGTATCAATACACTTATTATTATAAGAGACGTTTGAAAAATGAGACACAATAAATGCACAAAACATAGGATTGCTAAATTTGGATTACAAAAATCCAGGTGGCTATTAGATGGCAGAAGAATTTAGAGCTTTTTGAATCTCGTGGTTGCCATCTAACAATCACCTAGGTTTCTGCAATCCATATTTGACAGCTTAATATAAGGTAAGTGCCTTTAAGTATAATGAATGTTTCATGTGCCCTTTGGACTAGCAAAGTTTACTCTTCTAGATCTGCATGAGAGCTATTTAGCAACACTTATCTTTGCTAGAATTTTTTAATATGTTTAGACCATTGTGATTGGTAGTTAATTGCTGTGATTATAGAAATGTTTAATAGTATATTTGGCCTCTTGTGATATTATTTGGAGAATTTTAAAAAGCGTTTATATTTTAAATGTAGGTGAGCAATTATACTGAACCACTTTAAGTGGTAACTAACAAAATAATATAGAAGAAAGCCAGGGTCCATATTATGTTTTAGTATTTAGCATTTATGTATTGAATGATCATAGCAAACATCCATATAAATGTAATTATTTCACCTTCTGCTTTGTCTAGATGTGTATGCCTTCTCCTGCCTTTTCTCTTCTTAATCTTTTCCGATATCTTGTCTCTTCAGCTTGTTAAGAGGTCAAATAGCTTCCGGTGGGGAGTGATGGCAGAAATAGGATTGAGGTAGAAGCGGTGGTTGCCTTATTGAACTTAGCACGGAAAGAGTTAAATCTGCTGCATTTTTGGTTTTGCTTTAGAATATTAGGAGAGAATTCTTCAAGAAACATGACGTCTATCCTCTTCTTTTCAGACTGTTCTTCAGCCATTGATGTGGTGGTCATATGTGATGAGTCAAACAGTATTTATCCATGGGATGCTGTGAAAGATTTTTTGAAAAAATTTATTCAAGGTTTGGATATAGGGCCAACAAAAACACAGGTAAGCAAATTAAAACAATATAAATGCAGATGTAGACTTTGACTCCTTGACAAATGTTTATTTTTCTTAGCCGTGAAGACTTTTTTCCTCTGGAGTTTTAGCATAAGAAGCAAAAAAAATTAAAATAACAAAATATAAGAATTAAAGATGAAGAGCCTTAGTGGTTAGAACACAGTATTGCAGACAAACTCTGTCCACTGCCAGGAGTTTGATCCTGAGAGGGCTCAAGGTTGACTCAGCTTTCCATCCTTCTGAAGTCAGTAAAATGAGGACCCAGATTATTGGGGGTAATATGCTGACATTTGTAAACTGCTCAGAGAGTGCTATAAAGCTGGGGTCTCCAACCTTAGCAACTTTAAGCCTGGCGGACTTCAACTCCCAGAATTCCCTAGCCATGGGAGTTGAAGTCCTCCAGGCTTAAAGTTGCTAAGGTTGGAGACCCCTGCTATAAAGCACTATGAAGTGGTACATAAGTCTAAGTGCTGTTGTTATCATCAAATTACTACTAGTAATCTTTCTCCGAAGATTATCAGACGGGGCCTCATAATATTAGTACTAGTTTTTCTTTTCCATATTTTTATGTACTTTTGTTCTAGCTGAGACAAATGCATGTTTGTTTGTTTTTTATGGCATCTCAGAAAATAAGGGACAAGTGAATTAACACATTTTTACTACTTCTGTGATCTATCATATCATTTGGTAATGGTATCAAATTAGCCTGCAAATGATTGACCTTTCCTGATGAAATAACTGTAGAGAAGAATTGGGCCAATATTATCATTGATATAAAGACATCCAATTTTTATGGAGGCTTTGAATTCACACACACACCCCCCCCCGAAGTTTATTAGTAGGGTACCCTCCAGTTCATAGCACTCATTAGGCACTCACTGTGGTTGATCTGGTTTTGATTTAAGATATTGTGTTAATCCAACCAATTACTGCTAACTCAGGGTAGCTTAATTAAAACGTAGGTCAGCGTGATGTAACATTTGCAAGAAATATCTAAGGCTTCAAGTTTGTGTCCATGGTGTTACGAGGTGTTTCTTGGAATCAATATTCAAAAAGCATTTTAATCCAGTTTTATAACTTCTTGGTTATAAAAGCAAGTATTCCCTTCTCAGTCATTGGTTTGTGTATATTGGCAGCCTTTGTAATAATAGAAAACATTTTGCTGCATGAAATATAACACTGAACTTTGGATGGTGCAATCCACCTACAATGTCCTTTGATATCATATTCCAGATGTTGCCAGATCAGAGCAGAAAATTGATTGATATGGAAAATCTTCTAAAGCTGTTTCTACCAAAATAGTTTTTATTCCACAAGTCCCATTTACCTGGTTTATTACTGAATTCCACAGTCCTCAGAAACTGTTCTTGGAAGCAGGAGTTGGCCTGCAGTGTATGGAAAAGATTAAATGTTAACGTTTTGCATCCATAGGATACAGCCATAGTAAGAAAGTTTCAGTTTATGCACAAATTGAAAAATAAATCCACATTTTGTACAATGCAGAGAAACAGATGAATAAAGCTAGTTTGTGATGCTCTTCTTTTTATTTCTTTTAACAATTATTGTAGGTAGGCTTAATTCAGTATGGCAATGACCCAAGAGTTGTTTTCCATCTGAATACCTACACTGACAAAAAGGCTGTTGAACAAGCAATGTCGGAGGAGAATTTACTTGTTCAAAAAGGAGGGGACCAAACTAATACGTTCAGAGCCATTGAATATGCCAGGTAAACCTTAACGTAATTGCCAATGGGTAAATAGGGAATTCTTTTTAATACTAAATAAATCTGAGGGCTGTTAATGCCAATAGATCTATATATGTTTAAAATATGGGGCCTAATCATTTGCCGTGAAAAAGCCTTTTTTTAAATCAACAATGATTGGTGATTTTGGATAGGATTTTTAGGGTTTTTATTTGCTTGGATGGACTGGGATCTAAGCATTTCTTTAGGCGTATTAAGCTAGTCCAACAGCTTACATATCTTCTGACTTTGGTTTTCTTCTGATAATTATGAGGAACAAGCATCTTTGAAATTGGATGGTTTGACCCAAAAGCTAGAAAATATTGGACGAAAATACAAAGATGGCTACAGGAGATAACAGAACATCAAATAGAATTCAAACCCGAACTATTCTTATTGGGAATAATTAAAGGGAATTTTAGCAAACAAATCTAATACATCATATTGCATATAATAACAGCAGCGAGGACAGTTTTTGCACAGGTTTGGAAATCAGAAAACATGCCACCCAAAGAGATGTTGATACAAAAAATATTGGATTGTGCTGAGATGGACAAACTTACAATAGAACTAAAAGGCAAGGAGGAATCAGAATACTATGTGTTTTGGGATAGATGGTATAAATGGATAGAACATAGAAATAAGGATTAATGTATAGAAATAAATGTGTGTGTGTGTGTGTGTGTGTGTGTGTGTGTGTGTGTAATATCGATGACACAATACTGTTAACAATGTAAATAGAGATGAGTAACTTTGAAAATAAATTTTTAAAAAATTGAATGGTTTGCTATTGAAATTCAACAGTCTGATCCTAGGGACTTGAGAAGATCAAAAATGAATTTCTGTGGTCCCATGTGGTCCATTGGTTGCTGATCCCAGCTTAAATGATGTTGGAATAATTATTTTTGTACCAAAAGGCTATTGTCCATCTGTCCCCCAACTTTATTTTGTTGCTAGGGAAACTGGTAATGAAATTATTTATAAAAAGCAAGATTTGTGTCATGTGAATTGCATCTGTGGTTTATTGCAGGCAACATGCTTTCTCAAAAGAAGCAGGTGGGCGACCGACAGCCTCAAAAGTCATGGTGGTTGTCACAGACGGTGAATCACATGATGGCTCAATGTTGCCAGAAGTAATAGCGAAATGCAATTCGGATAATATCACGCGGTTTGGCATAGCTGTAAGTACAATTTTCATTCTTGCTACTCTGGTTTCAGTTAGCCTTGTATGAATATTTTTTTAAAAAAAGAATTGTTTTAAAATGTTTATAGCACACACAAATCAAAAGATTCTGGTTGTGTTTTGATATGTATGAAGCAACAATTGTAATAAATCAAATTATAAATCAATCTTCCCCCAAGACATATATATGCCAATAAACCTTTCTAAGAATCAAAGCCCAGAAAAAGAAAATTGTCTTTAATTATCTTCTGTCTTCTAAGACCTTGACTAAAAATCCACTCACCTCTTGATAAAGTCAGAGCCATGTCCTCAAACAAGTCAGTTCTTCTTTTGGTAAACGTGGCCAATCCACCCAGGACCAATCCTGCATCTTAGTCATACGTTTGAGAGTTTTGTTGCATCACGTCTCTTCTGCATAATGCTCTTTAAATAGGTTTATTGACATATGCCTCAGGGAAAATTGAATAAAAACTAAGTTGCTCTGATACTCTAGATCACGGGTGTCAAACTTGCCACATCACACTGCCATCACATGACATATTATGATGTTTTTTTCCCTTCGCGGAGCTGGGGTGGGCGTGGCCTGCATGTGATGCATCCAGCCCATGGACCACCAGTTTGACATCCCTGCTCTAGATCAGTGTTTATCAACCTCAAGAAAGTGTAGATGTGTGAAATTCTGGGAGTTGAGGTTCACACACTTAAACTTCCTGAGATTGGGAAACTTTGCTCTAGATGAAGAAGTAAAGAATAATCTAGATGAACTAAAGAATAATCATGTAGCATTTTGAAATCAAAGGCCAAAAAGGGCTTCAGAAAGCAAAAAGCTACTTAAGAGAATACCATCTGCAACTCTTTAAATAGCTACATCCTTTCTCAGGATTGCATAGTTGCCCTCCAAAAGTGTAGCATGATCCTGAGAAAAAAAGGCATTTGGTTGAAGGAGTTGTACCTCTCATTTAAAAAGTTTTCTTCACACATCTTTAATGCTCATTACTGTGTGCTTAGTGAAGGGAAAAAATAACTTTATTTAAAAGAAAACAAAGAACTTTTTCATTTATCTCTTATTGCCAACAATTTTAAAATACTGAATTGGTTAACAGAATAAAAGAAGAAAGCACATAACAAATGCACAATATTTCAGATTCCTTATATAGTGCCTTTTTGCATTTCTTATTACATGTTATTATATGTTTTTCCCATTCTTATATTTTCCTAGGTATTAGGATATTTAATTAGAGAGAAACAGGATACTAAAAAACTTATCAAAGAAATCAAAGCAATTGCTAGCCAGCCTACATCCAATTTTTTTTTTAATGTGTCCTCTGAGGAAGCACTTTTAGAAAAAGCAGGAACACTGGGGGAACGAATTTTCAGCTTAGAAGGTAACAAACATACTGTTTTTAAACTGCATTTAAAAATATGTGATGACCAGATTCTGTATATTTGTATGATGAGTTGTTAAGTTATTAAAGGCAAATGCTATGTATAGGGAAAAGGATAGACAATTTATAGTAAACAAACAGCAAAAATAGGATTTAGTATTTTAAAAAAAATCAGCAAACATGTAAATGTTCCTAAAAATATTTATCAATATCAGAAAAATCTTCCAACTCTTTTATTTTTTTTAAAACAATATCACAGATTTTCTGTTGCAGGGCATATTATCATATTTATCTGTAATAAACTGCACGAGTCAAAAAGAGGGCTGTGAAAATATTTACAGACCTCTCACATCCCGGGCATAAACTGTTTCAACTCCTTCCCTCAAAACAACACTATAGAGCACTGCACACCAGAACAACTAGACACAAGGGCAGTTTTTTCCTGAACGCCATCACTCTGCTAGACAAATAATTCCCTCAACACTGTTCAACTATTACAAAGTCTGCACTACTATTACTGTTAATCTTCTCATCACTCCTTATCACCCATCCCCTCCCACTTGTGACTGTATGACTGTAACTTTGTCGCTTGTACCTCACGATTTATACTGCCTAGTATGATTCGATTGCTTATTGTACCCTATGACTATTATTAAGTGTGGTACCTGATGATTCTTGACAAATGTATCTTTTCTTTTATGTATACTGAGAGTATTTGCACCAAGACAAATTCCTTGTGTGTCTAATCACACTTGGACAAAAAAAGAATTCTATTTCTATTCTATTCTATTCTATAACAAGATTTGGTAATTCCTTCCCACCCAAAGAAAAATCAAACTGCTTATAAGCCCCTAAAACTCTTACACATTGCCCAGCCTCTCTATCTTGTCAGTTAGGATTTGCAGGTCTCTCTTAAAAAATTTTTGGGGATGGTTCTTTGCATACAGATGTAATATCTGTATATCTGGGTGCATATGAGCAGGCCCAAAGTTGTATTTTAACAAAGAATATCAATAGCAAAAATTAAACCTACTGGTTAAAATTAATTAACTTTCAAATAAAATACCTCAGTTCTAAATGCAGTTGATCCCTAACTCATTTTCATGTACAGTATATACCCTTTGTCTTTTGCACACATACACACATACACACGTGCAAACCCTGTGAGATTAAAACTGTGAAGGACTGGAGCAAAGAACAGATGGAATGCATACCCAAGCCAGAAACAAATAGCAAACAATCCATTACATGTGAGTGTGAGAGAAAAGACATAAGATCAGAAATGCTGGGAGATAAAGCAGGTTAGATTGCTAGATTTGGCAGTAGATGGACAAGCATATATCTGGGGTACTTTAATCTGGATTCCTGCTTTGAGCAGAATGTGGGGATCATTAGCATAAATGCCCCCCTTCCAACTCTGTTACTATGACTGGGTACTTAGATATTTAAAATATTCACAGTATGGATGAAAGCCTGTATCTAAGTCTGCAGTCCTCATTGTATCTGAATTAAAACTCTATTTTTACGACCCTGTGGTCCTAATTCGAAGAAGAGTCAGGGTGACTGGATGGAACTGAGTGTTTACTGGCTAGATGCCCTTCCTGACACCTATGAGGAATTTGCAGCACATACTTTTTTTCTTTGCACCCTAGGAGAAAAATATCTGGGCTGCTACCTAGGATTGAACTCTCAACCTTGGCGAGCGTCTTCACCGCTAAACTACCATGCCATTTTTTAAATTGGATCTCAATTCTTTCTTCTTGTAAACTGGCTTAATTCCATGCAATATTTTTGTGGTTTAGAACAGTGGTATTAAATATATGAACTATATGTTTTTTTTCTTCTCACTAGGTACTGATCAAGGTGATTTGTTCCAGATGGAAATGTCACAAGTGGGTTTCAGTGCTTCTTATTCACATCAAAAGGTAATGTAGATACTATAACAAAATGCATTGGAATGGGAGCAACACTGAACACCAACACTGTCTTGGGAATGCCAATTTAAATTGGAATATTTTTAGCCCCTCCAAAAGGGCTGAACTTGGATTAAGACGGGATCAGTTTGTTTGTTTTTAAATATTATTAAATATTATTAAATAATATTAAATAATATTAAAACCAATGCAAAGAATAAAGAAGAGAGCAAACCTCCAAAACCTTTTTCTATGTTCAGGAAATCTGAAGTTGTGGCACTGCCACCATTCCAGAATCTTACTCAAAACAGATATGAGACTGGCTAGTAATTATCTAGAAGATTAGAAGCCAATAACTGACTTGGTACTATCACTGCTTCCCTTAGGCCAGGGCTGTCAAACTCCTGTCCCACAAGCCAAATGCGTCACATGCTGGCCATGCCCATACCCAGTTTAGCGAAGGGGAAAAAAGTCTTGATACATCATGTGATGCCGTCATGATGACGTGAGTTTGACACCCTTGCCTTAGAAAGATCAAAGATACATAATGGTCTCCCCTTATGACATCAGTAACAGATTAATGTGGAATCAGTTCCCATAGATGGTAATATGTACATGGGATTTACAGGTATGTACAAATAATATTATTAAATAATATACCTGTAAAAATAGATAAGCCATATAATTCAGTCTGCCCATGTGAGTTATGCTTTTCAATATTGCATGGGATTAAATTTCCAAGGTGGTGTGAGAAAACTGTGCTTAGTCTCTGACACTTGCATCTCAAGAACATCAGTTATGACAGTGGAAAGTATTGCTGCTTAGAATAAAGAATGGAGTAAACTGCACAGAATATATTAGAAGTCTCTGACTTAGACAAAAGTGAGCACTATTCACAATATTTTAACTGCATTACTAGAAGCTCTTAATTGAAACACATTTAATTATTTGCCTTGATTTGATTTTTTTCTGAAGGAAGTGCTGATGTTGGGTGCTGTTGGGGCCTATGAATGGACTGGAACAGTAGTCCAAAAGAGAGGAGAAAAAAACACTATATATCCCAATACAACATTTCAAAATGTTTTGCAAAATAGTCGGAACTCCTACTTAGGTGAGAACACTAGTTCAAAAAGACTCAGTAGAATATTTGTCCAATGTAGCTGAACATTTACAAGTCCTGCTTAGTTCTTTTTAAAGGCTTAATTAATGACTAAATTCAGTTAAAAAATCACTGTCTTAGACAAGATTTCTCCATCCCTATTTCCCAGGTAGTCCAGAAATATCTGGACGTTGGCACCAGTTTTAGAAGGTAGGTCTAGAAGGATTAGGCTGCGGAAAATTTCCTAAGTGTTCTGTACTGAAACTTCCAAGTTTATAAGCATTTAAACATTAGATAATTAAATAAAGTTTTTAAATAAATTTAAAAATTTAAACGAATCAGTATAGATTTAAAATCTTGATTTATCCCATCTGCAAATATTTCTAAGCCCTTAAAACTATAATTTGGACTTTCAGGTTATTCTCTCGCTGTTCTTTCCCTGGAAAACTCAGTCTTTTATGTTGCTGGTGCTCCCCGTTCCAATTATACTGGCAGAGTTGTGATTTATCGGGTTGATGACTATGGCAAGATAATCATCATTGACTCTCAAAGAGGAGAGCAGGCAAGTGCTGCATTTTAATGCTAAGTTTACACAATGGTGTGTTTATTCTCTTTGTACTGGAAAAAAGATCTGCTTTTAAATTAGACTTTATAACAAATCTTTATTTTTATTTTCATAATGATAGTTTCACAGGTTTTCAGTGTTGTGCGTTGTTCACATAAATTTCTTACAAAGTATGGCTTCCATGCCCCGTTTGATGGCAACGATTGTGTCATTTCAGATTGGCTCTTATTTTGGCAGTGTGGTGTGCTCTGTGGATATCAGTGGAGACTCCATAACAGATGTGCTTTTGGTTGGGGCACCCATGTTTATGAATAATTTTAAAAAAGAAGAAGGAAGAGTCTATATGTTCACAGTCACAAAGGTACCTATAAAATATATATAAGATATCATTATAACAATCGCAATATATTTATCTAATGAACATTTATGTTTTGTTCTGGGTTTTTTCTTTTTTTCTGATGCAGTCTTTTCATTTACAAAAAAATTATGTATTTTTATTTGACATTGTATATACTTGTATTGTAATTATCTTTGTGTTTTGTTTCTTTTTCTGTTACTATTTTAAAAGCAAAAAACATTTAAAAACACACAAAGGATTCTGTAAAATGGCTAACTTCCATACCACTAGATTTTCCAATGCTCCCTATATTTATTTTTAAAAAATTCTATTTCAGTACCAGAATCTTAAGTTAATAAATTAATACAACACTAACATAAATGCTCTTGTGTTTCACTCCCATTCCTTTTGATCTTTTATCAAAGGGAATTTTGGACAAACGAGAAGTCCTTGAAGGTCCTGAGGGACTGGAAAATGCTCAGTTTGGATCTGCTATCACTGCTGTTTCTGATATTGATTTGGATGGCTTTAATGATGTAATTGTTGGAGCACCATTAGAAAATGAGAATGCAGGTGCTATATATGTTTACAATGGTAAACAAAAAACATTGCACACTAAGTATTCCCAGGTAAGGAGTATGATGCTCTATTGTGCACAATAGTTGTAATTTAGGATATGTTATTTTTTCTCCTTTGCCAAAACAGTTTTTCCCAGATTTGCAGAAATTTTATTTTGTTATATATTTACATTGGCAAGTAAGCAGTTAATATTTCAGCTGGCTTCATTTTTATCATTGAATTGTGTTTGTTATAAATTGCCAATTGTGAAATTTCTTATATGGATGGCCTTATGGTCTAGGATCAATTGAAAGGCAATGATTTAATTTGTATTGTGTTTAAAAGCCAGATCAGTTCCGTTGTTTTTTTTTAAACTGTATACTTTTGTATACCTTTTTAATAACATCTGATATGATTGCTTTGATTATGACATTGCTAATTATCTGTTCAATTTGTCAACATTCCTGTTTTGCTTTTAACCTTTCAGAAAATTTCTGGATCAAATCCTGCATTTGCTCAGCAACTCCAGTATTTTGGAAGAGCAATAGATGGCTATACTGATTTAAATGATGATGGAATTACTGATGTGTCTGTGGGTGCCAGTGGAAATGTAATTCAACTCTGGTGAGTAGAAGATGTTTAAGGAAATAAAGAAAATGCCTTAAAGAAAAAAAACCTCCCCACTTGAGTTAGTTTTCCTCCTGACTGTACTCTGATTGATACACTGCATATAAAATGAATTTATCCATACATGCAGCTAGACTCAGACTTAGCTTGGGTCATCATGATTGTCACATATGAAGACTTATGTTGTGCCAGTGTAATCTACAACCATGCATTATGTACATAGTGGTGGAACAGTGGTTAGAATGCATACTGCAGGCTAATTCTGCTGACTGCCAGCTGCCAGCAGTTGGGCAGTTCGATTCTCAAGATTGATTCAGCCTTCCATCCTTCTGAGGTCAGTAAAATGAGGAACCAGATTGTTGGGGGCAATATGGTGACTTGGTAAACTGCTTAGAGAGGGCTGTAAAGCACTGTGAAGCATCATATGTAAGTCTAAGTGCTATTGTTATTGCTAGTGGTTTAGAGTTCTCTCTGGAAGGTATTGATTTATATCTATGTATACAAAAAATTACATCAAAAGATTTGGTCCACGATGATGGTCAGATATTATCCTTCAAATATGTATTTCATTCCAATCCAATTGGCATTTAGAAAAAGATCGAAAAAAGATTTCTTAGCATAGTTAAAATGTAATCAATAGCAATGTTAACATTCAACCATAAATCTCTTATTTCTTGCTTTTGCTTCTCGTAACAAGATTCAGTCATCTGTCTTAATATTACAGGTCTGAATCTTTTATCCAACACTGGCCACTTTGAGTGGGACTGGCCACTTTGAGTGGGACAATACAGTGTCTGGGCTTGAGCAAATGTAAAGTGCAAAGAAATATGTCTTCAAATTAATGATAACAATACACTCATAAGTTGTTTTTAAAACCAGGCTTAAACCATTAAAAGAAAAACATTGCAGTTTTGAACAATATAGTACAAGGAGCAAAAAGGATAAGTTAAAGCAATGTCTAATTTACTCAAGACTAATTTGATAGATTTAATTTAGAGAGCCTGTTTGACACAGTGGTTAAAGTACAGGTGTCAAACTTGTGGCATCACATTGCAGTCACGTGATGTATCACAACATTTTCCCCTTCACGGAGCTGGGGTGGGCGTGGCCTGCACATAACACATCCAGCCCATTGGCCGCCAGTTTGACATCCCTGGATTAAAGCATCAAGCTAGAAACTGGGAAACTATAAATTCAAGGCCATCCTAGGACATGAAACAATCTGAGCATCCTTGGGCCACTCGTTTTTTCTCAGCCCTAGGAAGGAGGCAATGGCAAATTACTTCTGCAGGGACTTGTCTCTGAGAATTGGACATGATTGAATGGAAGAAAAAAACTTAACATACTTTCCAAGAAAGATTAGATATAATTGTGGTTATGTTTCAGTTTCAGAGGCAAAATAATTTTCAGAGGAGATAGGAATGCACTTGGAATGGAATGGAATGGAATAGAATAGAATAGAATAGAATAGAATAGAATAGAATAGAATAGAATAGAATAGAATAGAATAGCCAAGTGTGATTGGACACACAAGGAATTTGTCTTGGTGCATATGCTTTCAGTATACATAAAAGAATATATGTTTAGTTTATAAAGATTTAGCGTATAGAAAGGTTTAGGAATTACTAAGTCTGCATTACTATTACTATTAGTATTAATCTTCCTATCCTTCCTTTCACCCATCTCCTCCTACTTATGATTGTATGACTGTAACTTTGTTGCTTGTATGCTAACAATTTTTATTGGCTGTTTCCTAGTATGATTTGATTGCTTATTTGTACCCTATGACTATTATTAAGTGTTGAACCTTATTATTCTTGATGAATATATCTTTTCTCCTGGGATCAAGTGGGAACTGTAAAGGACCAACAAGCTACACCAGGAGAAAATATGGTTGTCAGGGCCTCAAGGCACCTTTTGGCTTTTCAGTTTGAAGTGCTGCATGTCCCTGATACATATGGACAGGAAGTAGATATTTACAGTTGATGAAATATTTGGTTTTTGCTGTTCTCCAACATGAATTAGCACAGGCATGAAAGCCTTTTAATTCTTTTGCAATGTCTCCATCTATTCAAGGTAGTTTTTAAAAGAATTGCCTTGTTTGTAATATACATAATTAATCAGGAATTTTGCAATCAAATACTCAGGGAAGTTTATTCTCTAATAATAGGATTGCAGCTATTTAATTCTGTAAATTCTAGATATAAAGCCAGAACACTTTTTTCCCTTTTTATGATGGAGATCACAGAGAACTCTGTCTGCCTCTCTTTTAGGTCACAGAGTATAGCCAATGTGACTGTACACGTTTTATCTACTCCTACGAAGATCAGTCTGCAGAACAAGAGCACAGAAATAGATTTAAATATATGTTTTGGTGTAACTTATAGACCTATCCATACCAGTGATAAAGTGGGTGAGTATTTCCTTAGTTAATTTCCTTTCATTAGAGACATCTGCAATTGTCAGCTAAATAACATTCTATTTCTGTCATACACACAAACTAATCTGGATGCAATGCACAATTCTTAATAAAAGTATAACTTTTATTTTAATGTAAATGGTTTTATTGCTACAGTGTCTAACAAAAATATAATAATCATACTATTTAACTGCTACTTTAATAATTATATTTATTTAATTGCTGTTATTTCTGAATATACAATACTTAGTACTGCATATTCATAAATAATAGCAATTAAAATAATGGTTTTTTGTATATTTTAGTTGTCAAATCCCAATAATGATGATGATGATGATGTCATTATGGAATGATGAATATTTCCCCATTATTTTATCTTATTGTTTTCAAACTAGACTGCACTTGAAAATAAATTTGAAACATTTCAAGTGTTTCACAGTATTTCTCCCCATAACAGTTTCATTGTTTTGTCACTATGTTAGTTTATGGCAATATTCCCAAAGCAGTACCATCCTACTATGCACTGGGTGTTGTGACATTATAGGATTTGTAATCTAATTCATTTAGTGCAACCCTAACCTGGATAGTCCAGGTTAGAGGGCTTTTTTAAATAAAATATCATGTTCATTCCTGTTGCTATCATGGCTGAGAATCCCTCTTTTTTAAAAAAAAAAAAAATTCATGGAGTGTTTTCTTGATTCTTGGTTTGCATAGAAATATATCTGAAAGTGCATAGAGGGCCTTACCTTCAGTTAAAAAATAAGTTGGTTTGCACCTTGAGGCTTGTATCTTGACATTTATATCATTGTTTTCATCTTTAGATATTAGGTACAATCTAACATTGGATGCCGATCTCTTATCTTCACACGTTACTTCTAGAGGATTATTTAAAGAAAATAATGAGCGGTCTCTGCAGAGTAGTATCGTAGTCCATTCTCCGAAGACATGTGTAAATCACATTTTTAATGTGCAGGTAACAATTAACCCAGAATTAACTATCAGAACTAGGCAGCTGCTTTGGTACTCTTGTCCTTAACTCAGCTTCTTGAGTTGAAAAGGCAGGCTGCCACATGATGTCATTAGAAGATGAAAGTCAATTTTAGCTCATTTTCCACTCAGGATTGGATTTGAGCAACAGTGTAAAGATGGCAGTGAGAGCATTTGCCTCGTGGGGGTCTCGTACTCCACTCCCATCTTTAAATTCTTCCCAGTGATGTAAACAATGAGCTGTTTTGCTGCTAAATTACAGCGCAATGATCTTGGGGTGTTCTGCGTATCACAGATCCTCTGCTGAGAAGCGTATATAGCCATTGGCAATAATTTCATTCACCAGTATTTTACATGTATAAAAACAAATTTAGGTTATTTCAGATTAAAAGCACAGTATTAAGTGCTTGATTGGTTATTTCTGAAGAAGTGGAGTAAAATCTGCAGATATGCAGAATGGACATTTTTGTCTAGAAATTTAGAAATTAGTTGTCATACAATGTATTAGCATTACATGATATATGGTTAGTCATTTGTAAAATCTTGTGATTAGTATTAATAAAAGCAGAGGTAAATGGAACAAGAATACATTAATATCAAGAATAAACTCAACTATCCATGAAATGCTCATCAGAGTAAATGTGCTTTCACCTGGTGCTTAAAATGAAAGGTGGCCAGAAGCATTTGGGAAAACTATGTTATCACTGGGATGTGACCACCAACAAAGGGTTTCCAGTATAAGAGCAAATATTACTTTGAGCCTCCCTCTTGCACTCTGGCAGTTTTCCTTCCCAAAGTATTGGATATCAATTGAATAAATGCAAGCCAAGAAAGAGTTGCATCTTTAAAAAGAACTTTATTTGTAAACCTGTGGTATTGAAATATTCAGAAGTGCCTTGTCAAGCAATATTATAATGTTATCAGCCATTAGTTACATACATTTAAAATAGGAAAGTTCAAGCAAGCAAATCAAAGGTTTGTGAGGAAAAATATGCTTTGTGTGCTATTTATGTTTATAGATCCCTTCTGATGCTATTGACTCCCTTAATGTGCGCATTGATATTAAGCTCAAGAACCCCAACTCAAGTCCTGTTCTTGATAAAACATCTCCTACGTCTCTTGTTTACAGCGTAAGTAAATTAATATGCTTTCTTTTTATATGTTTTTAATAAGTTTTAATAAGTCCCCATGGACAGAATGAATATTTTGGAAAATTAGGTGTGCTTGCAATATTACAATGTTATTGGTTTAATGATGTTTTCTGCCGGAGTCCATAATTAGCTCCATAATTAGAACAAACAAAAATCTAATGTGGTGATAGCAGTGGTACTAACAATGTTGATTATTTGGTTGATTTATATTGCACCTTTTATACAGAAGCCACCCATTTATCTTCCTCTAAACCTTATAGCAAATATTTGCCTCCAAAGAGGGGTGGAAACTACAAGATTCTTCCAGACCCACATAAAAATGCTGAGCCAAATAATGTACATTGCTACCAATATCCCTTCAGCTAGCCTCTAACTCCTGCTAGGGAGCACATAGTAACCAATTACTGAAGACTCTGCTTGCATTTATCAGTAATGGAACCTTCCTTAATTTCTAGATCAAACTAAAGGCCCATGTAATACATCATCTTTTCCCACAATATCCAATAAGATATTTGTGGAAATCTCGTGGAAGTAAGTGGGATATAATACTACTACAGGTAGTCCTCAGTTTATGATCCCAATTGGGACCAGAACATGTGCCTTTAAGTGATGCAGTTGTTAAATGAGTCTCGCCTGATTTATGACCTTGTTTCTTATGGGCAATAAAATGATCTTGGTGTTATACAAAACTGGGGGGGGGGAAACCCTCTTTTCCTTTAATTAAAATGTCAGAACATTTTGAAGTAGCATAATGTGGTATTTAATAAAGGGAATAGTGTGAGATTTTAAAATCGTCATTTCTTTTTAATGACCCCATAATCCCTTGTGGGGTGGAGTCTGGATAACTGAATGGAGCTAGCAGAGTGTTTTAATGACCAGATGCCCTTCCTGTCACCAATGCGGAGTTTTGTTCAGCAGATATATTCTCAGTGTGCCCAGAGAGAGAAAAATACCTGCCTCTACCTAGGATCAAACTCATAGCTTCCTGATGGTGAGGCAAGAGCTCCACCTCTAGGCCCCTGCACCACTCCTAGTGCGAGACTTTAAAATGCAACATGTAAAATAAGAAGAAGTGGGAAGAATATTTGTAACATAATATTAAACCAGAGAATACTTGGATGAAGAGAGAAGGTTTTAAGAGGCTCCTGAAACATGGGTGGTACATATTCTCTAGAGTAAATAAAGAGTTTTCAAGCATTGTCTTGCATTACTGTATCAGTTATGACTTAGTTGACAAAAACTGTTTATCTAGGTCTGAATCTTGGTTTTTTTGTGTGTGTGTGTGCTTGTATCATGTTCCCTTTTCTCATTTTATCAGTACAAAAGAGTTCCAGATCTTTTAGGTAGTTGGTTAGTTAGTCAGTTTACTTTATTGTCATTGCACTCGTACAAAGAAATCAAACACCATCTTCAGTGCACATCATGACCATGAAAATAAACACAAACACACATCCTTCACATTGAATTGAAAACCCCTGACACCGCACCAACACTCTACTATGCAGTAGAATTCAACAGAGCTACTGCCCTGGGATAGAAGCTGTTTTTCAGCCTATTTGTCCTTGTTTTTATTATTCTGTACCGTTTGCCAGATAGTAATAGTTCAAAAAAAGGGTTCCCAGGATGAGATGGATCTTTGAGAATGTTTTGAACTTTCTTAAGGCAGCGGGAGCTATAAAGCTCTTCCAAAGAGGGGAGAGGGCAACCAATGATCCTCTGGATAATGATGTTAACCATCTGAAGATCTGTCCTATCTGCCACTGTGCAATTGGCAAACCATACCGAGGTGCAGTAAGTTAAGATGGTGCAGCGGTAGAAGGTCACCAGCAGTTTTTCATTCAGTTGTTGTTTTCTGAGAAGTCTCAGGTAGTATAACCTCTACTGGGCCCTTTTGACTGGTGCTGCAACGCGAGCACCCCAGGTCAGGTCCTCTTTTATGGTAACACCCAGAAACTTAAAACTGGCCACTTGTTCCATTTGGTCTCCATTGATAAGTAAGGGCTGGATTATAGCTTAATCCTTGTTTTTTTTTTCAGTACCTAGATATTCTGTAAATAAAAGTAAGAAGATTCCTTTCCCATATTTATATATCTCAGAGAATTTTCGTATTCTTTGTGCAGAAGTTGGATTTTGCAGATGCATTAGTTATTTGCCTAAATCTGCATTAGGCAAATAACTAATGCATCTGCAGAAATATACTTGTTCCAATCATAAAAACCCAATTCAGCAATTTAAATGCTGTAATAAGAGAGATGTAGACATAGATCCTTTACTTTAAACAAAGAAGATGAAAAGCTTTGGGTTGCTTTTATATTTTTCTAGATACCATTTGTCAAAGATTGCGGCGAAGATGAAGTTTGCAAGACAGATCTCGTTCTGAAAGTTGAACAGAAAAATATTGGGTAAGAAATGCTTGTATTGCTATTTCTTAATTCTGTTCTATAATGGAAAAATGACCTGTCTGGTTTTAAAATAAATGAAGTGGATGTTTAGAAAGGAGAAGAATTAAGCTTTAAAAGAAGTATGAGATAACTATAATTCGTAGTGTTTTCTAGATGAGAATAAGTCTCCATTTCTGGAGGGATCAATGAACATCTTTGTCATTTGTGGATGCTAAAGCAAATGGATACATGGAGCACACCCACTTTAGAACATGGTAGCTTTTTACAATTAAGTTGAAATATAAAATAAATTTTAAGAAGTAAAATAGGATGAAGGAAATAATGAGGAGCAGGGAAGGTGTCTGTAGAAATAGAACCTCTAGGGCAGTGATCCCCAACCTTTTTTACGCCGCAGCCCGGTACCGGCATCAGCTGGGCGCCGCGGCCCGGTACCGGCATCAGCTGGGCGCCGCCATCTTTTTTTGATGAAAACGTGCTTCCGGTGAGCTTTCTACCCGGAAAAGCTCACCGGAAGCACTTTTTCATCAAAAAAAGATGGCGGCACCCAGCAAGCCAGCGGCCCGGTAGGTCTTGTTCCGCGGACCGGTACCGGTCCACGGACCGGTGATTGGGGACCCCTGCTCTAGGGTACCCAGGACTCATTTTCATTTTTCCCCCTTCTCTAGGAGCAACAAAGAGTATTTTCTTGTCACCAATAAAAACAAAAGACTGACATTTAGTGTGAAGTTGAAAAACATGAATGAAAATTCATACAACACCAGAATTCAAGTGGATTTTTCTGAAAACTTGCTTTTTGCTTCTTTTTCAGCGGTATGTATAATTTCTATTTTTACTGCTGTGCAGTGTTTATAACACCAATTATTTCGTTAAAGAATAGTATCTTCTTTTAGATGTGTGCTGGCATACTGTGTATAAATAGGGAACAAATTCCACACTGAGTAGCAGTGATGATGTTACCTAGTTGAGAAATGAAATGTCTCCAAGCAAATAACCAATCTCAGGGAGTGCCAAGGATTTCATAACTTTCTTCTTGTAAGTTAGTGAATTAGGAAAGTGCTCATTTGAGCTATTCCTGGATGTTAGTCTGAACTTAAAATATGTTTATCCCTTTTTGCCTTGGCAACAAAGTTTGCATGCCCCAATCAAGATCATCATTCTTATTCTACACTTTCTAAAAGAGAAAGACTGCTTAGTACAGCAGTTTCCAAACTTGGCAACACTAAGACTTGTGGACTTCAACTCCCAGAAATCTCCATCCAGCTATGGTCTACAGAGGAAAAAATGCAAACCTATGAAATTTAACCCTTGACATGCTTATTCTGAAACAAACACTATTGAATTAGCTATATTTGTCCATAGCATTGAGAGTTGTAATTCAGTACCAAGATAAAGTCAAAACTAAATCTGCTAACCCTACATGGAAATAGGAAAATAAACTGACTCGTGTCGTTTTTTGACATGGGCAAGGTCGATATATGAATATCTTAACTTCCTAGTTCATATTTGGAACGTTGTTATTGAATGCGAATAGATTGTTGTGGGCAATATGCTGACTCTGTAAACTGCTTAGGGAGGGCTGTAAAGCACTGTGAAGCAGTATATAAATCCAAATGCTATTGCTGCTGTTATTATTTGACACAATTGTACATTTGAGAAATAACTCTGCTCACTTACCCTGTTCCTCTGTTGAAGAATCTCCATGAGTTCTCAGTTCTTCCACAAACAAAAGAAACCTCCTATTAGCAGAAGACCAATTTCTTAATCTCATCTATTATCTTCATCCTTATCCCTCCAAATATCATATGAAAGTTTCATTGCACAACAATCATGAATTTAATTCGAATAAAATATCTGCTTTTTATTGTTAGGTGGATAAAAGCGAAGTTTTATGTCAGGCGGCAGTCGTCCATCATCTTCTTGTCTGCCAAATCAGCTATCCTGTTTTTAAAGCAAGGCAAGAGGTATTTAAATAAGAAATGCTACAGGTTCGACATCAGATCAAAATATTTTAAATATGCAAAATGAAAACAAAAAAGTAAAAGCATTATGTTCAGCATTGCAAAATATGTAGGCTAAGAAAAATTGAATTCTGAAGAACTCTTCATCAAACAAGGAAGGGAAAAAGGAATGGGGAATTGTGGATTAAATTGTTTGTAATCCATATTCTTGCCATGCTGTAGTTTTAGTTGGTCCATTAAACTAGCATTTGGAGATGCAAATAGGGTGCATTGGTCTCCTGGATGACAAGCATTCATTCATGGCCTTTCAGAAGATTAATATTCCCATGTGAAAAGCATCAACAACAGAAAGGCGTAGGCAGGTCTCCTGCAGCTCAAGTAAAACAACTCATAGTGTCCCGCAATAGGACTGTGAGGGGAAGGAAGGTTACTCTTGACCACATCATCACCAGCTTTATCATTCATTGGTCATGTTGCTAGATTTGTGTGAAGGCAAGGAAGGCATCACTTTAGCAGCAAAATGATTTTAGACTGCCTTTTCAGTGGTTAAGGATGACACAGAGACAATATAATATGGCTATATCTCTTTAAAATGGTTATCAAGAGTACTTTTATGCTGTAAAATTTTCTGTAAACAGAAAATGAGGATGAATCCTTAGCAATCAGAGGCTGATCTAGGCATAATGTTAATATAGAATAGAGGTGCATTGTATTTGCAGTTCAATTCTGAATGGGTGCTTTGGAGTATCCAAGGCAGCTGGGTAATCCTGGGAAAACATGCAGTTGCTTTAATTAGTTCCAAACATGCTATATTCAGGCCCCAATGGTTAAGAGTCTGGGCTTGTAAGTTGGCAGTTCAAGACCCAAGTACCACACGATGGGTTGAGCTACCATTCTTGCCCCAGCTCATTCCAAACTAGCTGTTCAAAAGTGAACTGGAAATGCAAGTAGATAAACAGGTACTGCTTCAGTGGGAAGGTAACAGCATTTCTTGTGTCTTGGGGTACAGTAATACTAGCCATATGACTATGGAAGTGTCTTTGGACAATACTGGTTCCCTTGGCTAGGAAACAAAGATTAGGTTGTCCAGTCCAGTGGTCAGCAACCTGTGGGCCACGGAACACTGGTGGGCTGCAAGAAAATTTTGGCGGTCCACAGTGAAATATCCCCCCAAATCATCCCCCCAAAGCAATTAATCCAGGCTGCACGGGAACACAAGGCTGCACTGCCCACATGGCCCATAGGAACACCATTATCTCATCCTGGCCGGTGAGGGCTGCGTTACTTTTTTCACGTTGCACCACCAGCAAATGTACACGTTACATGTGCCAGCCCCTAGGGCAGAGATTTCCAACCCCACCAGAGGCCAGTCCCATATTCCAGAGCTGCAATAGTCATAAGACTGGCCCTTCGGTCATCCCGGAGCAGCTCATCCATGGCAGGACGATACACAGGCCAATCCTGTGACTACTGCAGCTCTGGAATATGGGACCGACTTTCCCACCAACATCAGCAAGCCACCGTCAGTCAAAATTCACATTAGTGGTCCGTGGGATTTGAAATTACAAGTTTGGTGGTCCCTGAGGTCCAAAAGGTTGGTGACCCCTGGTCCAGAATAAAGTTGGACACAGCTGGACAGGGAAACTTTGCCTTTTTATGCTTATTAAATGTTTGTTTAAAATAAAATTGGAAGTGCTATACAATAACACTTTTATGGATAATCTGGTCTTATTCTTTAAAGCAAATTGGGGTTACTAGTGATAATGACTTTCCCGATTTTAATGTTATTTGCCATATTTGTTTTCTTCATAGGTATCCTTTGATATTAATTTTGATTTCCGTTTGGAAAATCTTCAGAATGTGGCAGTATTACATTTTCAAGCCTTGAGGTACACTGTAAATTTCCTGTTACACTTCAAAACAGTATTTGCAGCCAAACCCATACTTCCTTAGTCTGAAATGATGTGTTCTTCAAGATATCCGTTTTCATAAACAAATAAGTCATTAATCAAATAATAGAAACTTCATAATAATGTTAATATAATCCTGAAGTTTTCAAAAAGATAATTAGTTGCTAGGCTATCTTTAAAAGTTCGTGTAAGTGTTCAGGCCAGAAGTTTTGCTTATTCCAAAAAAAAGAACTTGTTTTATTATAAGTTGCTGTCTGAAGATACACAGTAGAACATATCCACAGAGCTGGCTGAAAACAAAGCTGCTTATTGGCAATTCCTTAGACTGGAAGAGTTTAGGGCAGGGGTGTCCAACCTTGGCAATTTTAAGATTTGTGGACTTCAACTCCCAGAGTTCCTCAGCCAGCAAAGCTGGCTGAGGAATTCTGGGAGTTGAAGTCCACAAGTCTTAAAGTTGCCAAGGTTGTACACCCCTGGTTTAGGGTGAATAGTATAAAAACCATCCAGATACATTGCAACCAGTGTATCTCACATGTACAGATAATTTTTTAATTTGTGACTTCCTTCCTTGTGACAGAACCACTCTTAGTCAAATTTCCTTTGAGTCTTCTGATAGAATTTATACATTTAGAGATTATAACTCTGTAAATATTTTCAAATATATTTGATTTTTTTTTACTGAACAGTGCAAGTAATGACGAAGATTATACAAACAATCAGGTGAACCTGACACTTCCACTTCGTTATGATGCAGAACTTCACTTAATGAGGTAATTCTAAGTTGGCCTTGTGCTAATTCTATTGGTGTTAATAGATCCTTGCTAGTCTCTGATATGTTCTTTGCTGACTGGGGAATGCTGGGAGTTGAAATCCACACAGCTTAAAGTTGAGATACATTGTCCTAGAGATTTTGGTGTAGTGATGAAGGCATCAGGACAGAAATCAGATCATGAGTTCTAGTCCCACCTTAGGTTAAAAGCCAGCTAGGTTATCTTGAGCCAGACACTTTCTTTCATCCCTAAGAAGGAGGCAATAGACAACCACTTTAAAAATATTGCCAAGAAAACTGGAAGGACTTGTCCAGGCAGTCCCCAAGAATCTGGCACAATCGAAGGGAAAAAAAAAAGATTCTAACCCTAGATCAGGGGTGTCAAACTGAAGGCCCACAGTTTGGATGTGACCCACAATGTGGTCAGATCCAGCCCGCAGAGCCGTCCTGGTCTACCCAAATGCGAAGAGGAAAGATTGGGCCAACCTGACTTCAGCATTTCCAATGTGAAGAGGAAACATGCCAGCAGTTTGGGGAGTGGTGTCAAGTTGGCCACGCTCACCTAATTGTCCACACCCACCCAGTTGGCCATGCACACCTACCGGCCAGCCTCCCTCAGGTCAACCACAGCCCTGATGTGGCCCTCAATGAAATTGAGTTTGACACCCCTGCCCTAGATGAATTTAGGTGGGCATAACATTGTGGCTTATCCTCCAAAGCAAAAAATACCCTGTATGTATAAAGACACAGATGTTTTTCTAGTATTCAAAGGATCCAGGAAAAAATGGAGAGAAGTGATAGAAAATAGAAGATAGAAAGACATTACAGAGGGTGGTGAGCACAGCACAAAACATTGTGGGCTGTTCCCTGATACCACTAGATAACATCGCTAGGGCTCGCTGCCTTAGAAGAGTGATGAAAATTTTCAGAGATGACTCACACCCCGGTTAGCACTTCTTCACTCTCCTACCATTGGGTAGGAGATATAGAAGCATAGCTAGCCGCACCAACAGGCTGAAGAACAGTTTCTACCCATGGGCTGTCAGACTTCTGAACGGAAAATAAGTTCATGCCAACATAGTTTGATAGACTTGTGGGGCCCACATTGTGCAACAAGGTCACATAGTGTAATAAGATTGGGACTGGGTTAGGGACTTCTGTCTTCACTGTGAGTTGTGTTGGTGGGGGGGTGCACGAAGGGAAGCTCAGCCAATCTCATTGTACACATGTTGTACTCTGACAATAAAGGTAATAATAAAATGGGAGAACAATTTCAGATAAGCTGCTGGAACAGACAATGTTTGTCAGTTGTTGACATTCTCACAGAGACACAGATCATTCTAAACCTCCTTTGTAAATGTCGAGACATTGACAATAACAGACATATAGCTATTTCTTTAACACTACTTTTTTAAAGTAAAAAAAAAAATACCTGGATTAAAACAATACTCTTCCATATGTATTTCCAAACAGAGTTCCTTAATATTTTAAGGAAAACTATATCCTAAATATCTGCTCTGATTTATTTCTCCCCAGGTTTACCAGTATGAACTTCTACGAGGTGTATTCTAATGATAGTGTTTACACCGTGGTGAATAATTTTGATGAGATTGGACCTGTATTTAATTTTTCAGTCAAGGTCAGTAAACATTTTCAAGTCTTTTTAAATAAATAAAGACAATCATCTGTTCACAAATCATGGTAAAATAAAACATGCCTTGCTTAGTATGGTGATGAAACTTACCTCTGGTGGTTTAGAGATAAAAATCATAAGAAATGAGCTATCACAGGAAGCTTCATTTCTCCAAACTGCTTTGTTTCTAGATAGAGTGCCCCACAATCTAAACAACTCAAAGTATACATCTATTCATGGTTGGAAAAGTGCCAGCCTGTCTTCCTTTCTAGCATTAATTAAGATAAAATGATACTTATAATGTAGGCCATTTACTATTGGAATTAAGCCCAGTATTAATCCCTCTCTTGCTTTCCAGGTCACAAGAGGAAATAATCTAATCAATGCAGCAACTTTAAAAATTCATATCCCTACTCAAACTAAGGAAAATAACCCTTTGATGTATGTGACTGCAGTGCACACCAGTCAGGTGAAACAATGGTCTATTTTAAGTATAAGACAATAACAAAAGATGATACAAAGCTAAATGTCTATGGGGGTCATAACTGTCCCAAAGGTGCTTTTTCAAGAGGCAACTGGACAACTTGTTTTTCTTTGAAGACATTTCGCTTCTCATCCAAGAAGCTTCTTCAGCTCTGACTGGATGGTCGGAAATGGAAAGATTTATATTCCTTACAGACAGCTGGTCATTTGTATTCTTTTACACAATCATTGAGATCAGCTGTCTTCAAGGATTATAAATCCTTCCATCCCCCATCATTCAGTCAGAGCTGAAGAAGCTTCTTGCATGAGAAGCAAAATGTCTTCAAAGAAAAACAAGGAATTCCAGTTGCCTCCTGAAAAGGCACTTTGGGATACAAAGCTAATTAATACAGAAACTTTACTGATAATGATGACCCTGATTTAAGCCTGTCAAGAGTGGATGTATAGCCCTGATTAATATTGCAATTTTATATATACTCAGTAGGGCATAAAATGCATAAGATTGCATTGTGTGAGAGTTCTTATAATGGATTGTTCCTTCTTTCCTGCTTTTGTGAGCATCTACAGATGTTCTTGAATCAATATTAGTATAAATGACAAAAGTAGTTGTAGGATCCAATCTGGGTTGGTCAATGGGAACAGAGGTTTAGTCTTGCGAGCTTTTGGATGGAATTCTTCTGGTCTGAAAGCTCAGAAGACTAAACCTCTGGTCCTGGTGATCAACCCAGATTGGATTCTGCAGCATTATCCTGGGACACATGTATTCACCATCATTCAGGACAAAAGTAGATTTTGAACACTATGGTGGGTAATTCAGTTCTTCTTCAAATAAATTACAGAATAAATTTACTAATCTTTTATCTTCAGATCCTGGATTCTAATTTGGTGCTTAACTAGACCATGTTGACTTTATATATAAATTGCATTGATTTTGCAGTTGTGCACTTGCTATAATTGAAATTGAAAAGCTTCTATCCCAGGGCAGTAGCTCTTTTGAATTCTGCTGTTATAGTGCAGTGTTGGTGTGGTGTTGGGGGTTTCCAGTTCAATGTGTGAAGGGTGAAGGATGTGTGTTTGTGTTTATTTTCATGGTCATGGTCATGATGTGCACTGAATATGGTGTTTGATTTCGTTGTACGAGGTGCAATGACAATAAAGTAAACTAAACTAAACTAACCTAAATCAAATGCAAAAATATACTTGTAGAGACAAAAACATTTAAAAAGGGGAACAAGGGAATAATGATGCAGAATAGTCCCTTGTTTTAAAGGACAAATCAGAATCTATAGAAAATTGTGGCTGTAATAAATCCTGGTCCTGTTTCTTAAAATTGTAGAAATCTTCTCTGTTCTGGATTGCTTCTTCTTCTCATCTTTTTTCCAGAATACCAAAATGTAATATATTCCACAGTGTTTGTCTAACTCATTCTATATTTATTACATATAGTAAGGCTATTCCACTGAGCAATAGCAGTGGACATTAAAGTACCAACTGCATATTTAATGTTCGTTTTATATTATTATATTCTTTTTATAGGGCAGTGACATCAATTGTCATGGACTCATCAATCCACATAAAATTGGATCACAAAGCTATGCTGCATCATTTCAGAAAGAAAACTTCAAAGATTTGGAAGAATTGGTGAGTTAAATGCATAGCTCCAATATCAAGACCTAAGTTCTTATGAATTACTCTGGAATAGCGATGGCCAATCACAATTGACAAAATAGAAGTTCTTCTCTTGTTATGGTTCCCAGCTAAGTCTTCCGTCCCCTGTATGAGCAGGCTCTAATGGGGCTTGCTACAATTGTCTAATGTCCACCTCCACAGGAAGGTGGATTACCTGAATTTCAGGGTCTTCAGATTTAAGCCATAAAATGGGAAAAATCTGATGGCGGCAGTCTAAATACAGCTACACACATAAGAAAAAGAAAGCTATAAATGGAAGCTGAGATTGGGTAAAGACATGTGAAGTATATTATTTTTATATTATATTTTAAAATAATAAATGACAATTTTTCATGTTTTTTATCTGAAAGAACTGCAAGAACGTTAGATGTGATACAATCACGTGCATGTTAAAAGATATATCCCTGAAACCTGAAAATTATGTTAATATTTCTACTAGAATCTGGAATGGGACATTTGTAACTGTAAGTAATATGTGAGTTTGATTCTGTTACCACCACTCTTTCCTTTTACTTACAAAATATTGGAAAGATGATTATAAGCTATTGAAAATGCAGAGTGCAACTTTGCTGTATATATATTTTTGTTTTCCTAAGTAATTATGAAACATGCAAAACTGAAAGTACAAAAAAAGGCAATTAACTTTTCTTCCTTCTTCTTTTTTACTATAATTCCTATCGTAAATTTTTTATAAAGGGAAAACACAATCTTATTGGTACCAAATTATTTTTTTAAAATGAAAATGTCTATGTGAGGGTGAGTTCAGAAGTGAGTAGATAAAAGGATTTGAAGTTCATGGCTTATCTGTGGCAGTTGCAATCATATTTGATTACTTGTAGGGGGAAAAAAAGCATCCATGTGTTACATTTACAGTTAGATTTGTTTGGCTTGTGCAATCCTTCCAAAGAAATACTTCAGAACGCATGGGGGTGGCTATGGAGCATTTCTTTAGGAAAGATTAAAGGAGCCATGCTCTTCACTGGCACATTGGCTGCCTCAGAATGATCTCTGAGCCACCTTTGCACGGGGATGCATGATGCCACATCCCTTAAAAGAACTGGGTCTGCAAATGCTCATATTCAAAAATAGCTAAGGCAGTTTTGGGGCAGCTGCATTAGTCTGGAAAAAGATGCAGCTGCTTTAATTGTTCAAAAGTAATTTGAACAAACTCGCAAACTTTCCAAAGGACACCTTTCAAAAGATTTGCACAATCGTAATACTGAAGAAATAGAGCACTTAATCACACATGAAGCAGGGTGTAGCCTTGGCTTTCTGGTTTTTATTACAGACTAAAGGTTGCTTTCTCACTTTGGAAGGGAACCTGCCTAATAGGCACTCCAGGAATACAAAGTTAACAATTTAGAGTTAAGGATACTAGCCTTCCTAAGTAGATATTTATTTAAATGTAATGAAATAATTGCAATACATTTCAAGCTGGCCAGATAGAATAGAATAGAATTCTTTATTGGCCAAGTGTGAATGGACGACATACAAGGAATTTGTCTTGGTGCAAAGGCTTTCAGTGTACATAAAAGAAAAGATACATTCGTCAAAAGTCAAGAATCATCAGGTACAACACTTAATAGTCATAGGGTACAATAAGCAATCAAATCATACAAGGAAACAGTCAATATAGATCGTAAGGATACAAGTGACAAAGTTACAGTCATACAGTCACAAGTGGGAGGGGATGGGTGATAAGGAGTGATGAGAAGATTAATAGTATAGTAGTGCAGACTTTGTAAATAGTTGGACAGTGTTGAAGGAATTATTTGTTTAGCAGAGTAATAGCGTTCGGGGGAAAAACTGTTCTTGTGTCTAGTTCTGGTATGCAATGCTCTATAGCATAGTTTTGAGGGTAGAAGTTGAAATAGTTTATGTCCAGGATGTGAAGGGTCTGAATATGTTCACAGCCCTCTTTTTGACTCGTGCAGTATACAATGAAAGATCACAATGAAGCAGTTACCCTACAAGCTTGATCTTTGTCCAGTTGCTGAAATTCATTCTTTCATAGCTTTTTAAAGTTTTGAAGCCTGCTTCATATTATATAAAGCCATCTGAAGATAGTTGTGAGCAAGAAGATGCTCTAAATGGCAAATTGTTTTAAATGCACTTGAAACCTTAAATCAGGGATGTCCAACCTTGACAACTTTTAAGACTTGTGGACTTCTTCTGGAATTCCCTGGGAGTTGAAGTCCACAAGTCTTAAAGTTGCCAAGGTTGGACACCCCTACCTTAAATACTTTATATAGTTGATGAAATGCAATTTTTTAAAATGCAACTGTAAAGTACTGTATATAAAAATGTATTTTTCCGTTGCAGTCAGTCTTCCAGAAAATAGAATTATCTGCAAGCGCCGAAATTGATACCCAAGATTCCGAACTGTTTATAACAGGAGAAAACACTTTATCTGTGAGTATGGCTTTATGTTTCTAGGGTTACTCTGCTAAATTTCTTTTTGAAGTTTTAATGCTAAAATGCTGCAGCAAAGAATCATCCAGTTAGACAACGTAATCCCAAGGTATCCTTAGGTGAAACTAATTCATGCTGGAACAGGGAGGGTTTCATTGAATTGCTTTTCTGTGTTGTATGAATCTGTCCTTTTAACCCTATGCTTTGCAATCCATGGTTTGGAAATTGCTCAGGTTTTTTATTTTTATAGCAATTTCATTAAAGTTACAATTAAAAAGATAAAACCTAATACAAGCTAAAACAATAAAACAGGAAGTACTTAAAATGTACTTAAAACAGAAAGAAAATTAGAAAATACAAAAATAAGAATATACTAAAGAAAAAGAAAATACATATTTAAGAAATGCTTTTCTCGCCACCGTCACAAATAGGAATAATTTCAGTGTCTTATCACCTTCTCTGATAATTTCTTCTCCAGTAGTTCAAAATTATTTTGAGAGCTTTAAAGTTACTCAAGTTTTAACCAATTTTAATGAGGCCAGATTTGGCTGACAAAAGGTTTAAAAGGTTTATATGCTGAAACTGTTGCACAGTTCTGATAAATGTTTGTTACGCTCCTGTAATTGCTTCCAAGCTAATCAAATTGAGGTTTGTGAAATTTAGGAAAGGAAGAAAGTAATCCCTTTTCAATAATCTAGCTAGCAATTAAAGACTGGGGTATAGAAAAAACTGAATTCAATTCTAATGTCTATTTCTGGAAACATATTTAGGATTATTTCTTTCTATAGTTGTCTCCTTTCCCTGTTCATTGCAAGAGAACCTCTATTTTGTGAAGTGTCTGGACATGTGGTATTTTGTGACTAACAAGATCAAGCTAAACAGAGTTAGACCCTGGTTAATACTTGGATAAAAGTAATAGGAAGCTAAAGCTATTACTGTACAGGGCGCCTAAAAACATCCTGAAAGCAAGCCATAACATACCATTTAACAAGTTAGTTACAGGTGTTCTTAGTTAATAACTGTAATAGAGACTGGGAACTCTGTCGCTAAGTGAAAAATTATATGACAATGCCAACTTACAAGATCAATTCCAGTTGCAGTCATTAAGCAAATCAGATTGCAGTTTGATGTCATGTGACCACAATTTACTACTTCCTGTGCCCACTTCCCCTTCGACTTTGCTGGTTGGAAGCTAGATTGCAAATGACTTGATAGCAAGACACTGCGATTATGGTAATTGTGTGCTGGTTGCCAAGTGCCTGAATTATGTTCAAGCGAGCACAGAAATGCTGCAACAGCCCCAATTTCAAGGACTGCCCCAAAAGTCTTTGTTCAGCACAGTTGTAACTTCAAATATTTGTTGAAAAATGGTCACTAAGCGAGGACTGTGTATGGTTGTGTCCATGCAATCATATAAACTCAAAGGAGACATTACCTAATCTTTTCCTGTTCGCTTGCTTTTTGATATAAAATAGAAAAGGACACCTGGTGGGTTCATTTATTAAAGTGAAAACATTATCTAATTTGCAGTCTGATTTGTCCATCATTTCCTCATAGGATTCAACAAAGAAGCTAGAAATTTTTCATTTTGGCTAATTTCTATAAACTATTTACTGTCTTTTAAGTCAAGTTTTCCCTGAACGGCTTATGATAATTTGTAATGAAGTCACAATGTGTCATTTAAATTAAACTAAAAACAATAGGCAATGATATAGAAGCATAAACAACAATAAGCAGAAAACTAATTAAAAACACCCAGTTGAGCATTAGTGTTGAATGCATATTACGTTAAAACACCAGGAAGAATAAAATAATATTTGCATAATCACAGAAAAATCCTAAAATAGGAGATTGCTACACTTCACACCCTTTAGAAAAATACCATCCTTGATTTTGGAGCAGATCTGGCAAGGGAAAAATAGGGGATTATGGGGGGTGGGGAGGGAGGGAGTCATTTTCAGCTTCCTGTTTTATCTCTTCCTTGTATGGAAGAGCAGAAGAAAATAGCTGGGGGGGGGGGGGGGAAATAATCTCGTTTTAAAAACAAAGCCGTTTCACTGTTCCGAATACCTGTGCCGATAAACAAAATTCACTTTATTTAATTAAATTTACTCTTGTATCTTGTTTGGAATCTGATCCTGTATTTTTCCATAAAATATGTGAACTGATGCCCTCCTGTGGAAATTAGTAATGTTACATGTGGCAGATTTTATAAAGTATCCAATAGGGTAGGTTTTTGCTACAGTATATTTCCTTAATATTGCTCTATTGAACATTATTAATTGCTGCAGATAATGGGCAGGAAGTCCTCTTTCGCACAACACTGGGATGGATCCAGTGAGAAATAGCTGATTTAATTAGTACATTAATTCAGATTTCCTAATGATAGATATTCACGGAGCACTCGTGGGAAACATCTAATTTGTTTTACTTTGGACTTGGTATTGCAGTTATTTTAATGGTCTGCTCCACAGTGAGACCTTCTTTTGGACTTTTCAAGAGGTCTCCTAATAAAAGAGGATTAAAAATTTAACCAATACATGAAACTCTTGTTCCAAGGATTCCTTTCACCTGTGGGATTTGTACTCAGACCCAGTTTCTCTGGGGACAGGAATTAAAGGAGGGATATCTAGGAGCTGGCTGGCTGGCTGGGGAGTTGAAATCCATAAGTCTTAAAGTTGCCAAATTGGACGTCCCTGATTTAAAACAGTTTTTAAATTAAGAGCATAAATTATTCTGATTTGTTTAATGGAATTGCACCTGGTGCCTCCTTTCAAAGCTCTTTTTGAAGTTTCCTCAAGTAGGAAAAATATTCCTTGAATGTCGTGGCCTCACTCACTTTAATGTTAAGTTGCTTTAAATTTGGTGGAAGCATATTGACATTGGTAGCTGTATTACTGATGAAACTGGACTCCATCTCACTAGGAAAAAAGTACATTAGGACAGGGGGCATTGATTTCATCCTGGTAAGGAACTGGGCCATGTAGATTAGCAGAGATTCCAGTATTTCTCTGAACAAAAGAAGCTGCCTCATATTTGTTAGAACCAACAAAAGACTCAAGGAAGGTTTCAGGTTTGGCACTCTTGATGTATCCCATTCCTGATATCAGGTGTGAACTCTGAAGCAAACCTGTCTGAAGCCATCTTATGCTGCCTCATAGTTGCCATGAACGCTGAGAAGGGAAAGGGAGAGGGAATAGATAGGCTGTCTAAATAGTCAAAACAAAAAGTTTTCTTGTGGGAACCAAGGTCATCCCAACAGGTGGCAGTTGAAGAAGGAGAGGAGTGACCAAGCAGCCTGCCAGCTACTTTCATTGGACAATGTGACCGGTGACATCTGGAAAGGGAAATATTTGCTCTTTTAATTAGGGAACCACAGAAACTTTTAGAGATGGTTTTCAATAGCTGTGTCGATTTGATGTATCCAATAACTGAATTCTTTGAGGAATCTACCTGCCTTGGAGTTCTGCTTTTAGCAGATGCGTTACTCAGAACGTTTACATCAGGACTTTCAGCCCTACTTCCTCAGTTGACAAACTCTGCTCATCTGGGAGCCCAATTTTACCCATCACCAAATTTCTTCTCTCACCTGCTGCTGCTTCATTCAGTGATCAGTTTTCAGCTTTGTGTTCTTTTGCATCAGCAGTTGCAGCAATGCTGAAGGGAAAAAATATAATTGCTGGCTTAAATACCTTGGTTTATGATCCACTTTCTGACAAGGATGGTATTGGCTATGTTTATACTGGAGCTGCTTGCTTTGTCATTGATTCCTATTTTCAGCTGAAATTAATTTCTGTGAATTTCTTCCAAGCTTTTTATCCCTTGTGGTGAATTTCTTGTTCTCTACCATTTGCTCTCCTGTTGAAGGTTGTGACCTTTTATTTATTTATTTTAGTTTTCCTTATGCCTGTTTTCTCTGTTATTCTGGAAGTCTTTTGATGAGTTGGGGTGTTATAAATGCTTTTTGTCTTTGCCTTTTGCAGTTGGTTGCTTACTGGCAGATCTGAGAGTTATTTCTTTGACTTTACACTTGCCTGTTAGGTTGTGTTTCTCTTTCTGTCGTGGTCTTTTCAAAATAGAAAACCTCTGTCTCTAGTTGCAGTTGGTTCTGTTCAGAAGACTGTAGCACCTAGTGTGATTCCCATGACCCCGTTCTGAAAAAGCAAGTCATAGGAATCCATACTGCCCTAGAGAGCATTTCTGAAGTCAATGTTGTTTTTAAACATGTATTTATAATCAGCTAAATTTATGGAAAAGTTTAGGTTTTGGGGAAGGAAGGAAATGAAAGAGGAGGACAAATTCTATGTTCACCATGCTTACTTGCTTAGTTCAGATATTTTGTCTTTTGGGAAGAATGTCTGAAAAATTGAACTGAAATGGAGAGAATCCAGCTGAATTCTGTTTAATCTGTTTTCTCCGTGTTTTTACAAATAAGGACAGACATGCATTGATTCACAAATTTAACTCTAAGCAGTTAACAGTAGGAATGTTTACATAATCATAAGCATTTTCCTAAATCCTGCTCACATTTGGAGGATTTGATTGAGTATGATTGTTAAGAGTGGAATCTAAATTATCAAAAACTATTAGGGTATTTTTGCAACATTTTCCAAGAAATTTCTAAGAAATCTTTAAAAATTAGACTGGGTAATTCTTTGAGAGATGCTCCAGAATACAGACACACACAAAGGCACCTCTTCAAACAGCTACAACAGCTGTGTCTTTTTCCAGGTTCACACTGGTGCTGTAGAAGTTTCTCCTGGCTGTGCAAATGAAAGCACAGGCCCTTCATTTCATTAAAAACATGTATTTAGAAATAAATGTGGTAATCATCTCAGTAGCTCTGGGCTACTTACAAGAATGTTGTAATATTAATTTCTCCAAATAGGTTATTTTGCTTTCATTTTAATTAGGTAATGAGCTTGCAAATGTGCTATTTTGTTTTTTAAAAAGAGAAGAATCAGCTTTTAACATATTTTTTAAATGGAATATTAAATGTGCAAAATTTATCACCCTTCTGAAATTCCTAACTCTAGAATGAAAATGTATCTGAACACTGAAACAAGAAATGAGTGGATTAGTTCATTCCTATGCAGTGTCGTATGACCACAATAATTAACAAAATGCAAAACAAATGTTACCCTTTTTTTATGAAAAGGACTACTTTTGTCTTTGAAATAACTAAGTTTATTTCTTTTTAGATTCCAATTACAATAAGCAAACCTGATGAGAAAGCAGAAATACCCATTGGAATTATAATAGCAAGTGTCCTTATCGGTCTTCTCTTGCTAATGAGTCTTATTGCTGTTTTATGGAAAGTAAGTAAAGGCTTAGAAGTGTAAAAGTTAAGACAATGAAAGATTTCTTCCTATATAGTTGAAAGTATTACTTAAAGATTGGGCAATCTGAGTCCACCGGGACTATCTGTGGTTATTCAGTCCCAAGCATTTTCACATCTTACAATTATTAATGTTGCTACACCATTTGATAGCACTTTTGTATGTGTAAGTGTATGGATAAGTTTAAGAAAATAAGAAAATGAAAGAATTCCCTTTCCAAATGCTGCCTTTAAGGGAAAAAATCTGATAAAGAGAGTTTCTGCAACGAGACTGATACACACACACACGCATACTTTCCATCACTGGCCCATCTATGTGGCCTATCACACCAAGTAACATTATCTCGTCCAACTTCACTATCAACCATGTAAACATTTTGAATAAAGTATCCTCCTGAAACAAATGTCGAGTTTTCAAAAATGCCTTTAACTGGTGAGAATAATGTCAGAAATTGTTTGAATTTGACATACAAATCTCTTAAGCTATTCTGACATATATCGATACCCAATTAATGAAGCTGTGATCCTCCATTCAATGTGTAATCACTGCCACAAGGCCTATCATTTTGTAGTTCATGCTGTCAATTTGAATTTAGAACTCTCCCCCCCCCCCCCCAAAAAAAGTGCTTTGAAGGTCTGCTGATTTTCATCTATTAAATGCACACACTGTACTGTAATGTCTAATGTTCATTTCAGTTATATTTAGGTTTTATGTTTATCTGAATTTAGGATTATGTGCATATATAACTGCTTGTTTGATGTAGTCCATCCAATAGCGAGTAAATACAGTAAATTGCATTCAGTCTTAGAACTGACTTCTTACTTATTTAGGAAAAGATCAGCAAATATGGGGTGGGTTTATCTGCTCGTACATTGTGAGATCCTAGACTGTTGCTTCTTGACTTTCACAACTTGAAGATGTATGGACTTCAAGTCCCAGAATTCTGCACCCAACACTGGCAGGTTTCTGGGAATTGAAATCCACAGATCTTAAAATTACCAAAGTTAAGAAGCATTGCCCTAGGCTTTTAACACATCTTAATTAAGCAGCCCTCAGAGGTTGATAGTCTACAGTTAAGATTTGTCTAATTGAGATTTAAGGACAACCTATTGTTAAAAATAAAAGTTGAAGAACAATAGAAACAGTGTGGATCTTATCCTTGATGCCACATTCCAGTATTAAATAATACCAAATTAAATCTTTTCAAAAATTTCTTGCAGCTTGGTTTCTTCAAGAGAAAATACAAGAAAATGGGGACAGATTTGGAAGACATGGATGAGATTACGGGACTTACTAACGACAGAGAATGAACATAGCAGAAATATTCCCAAGTGTACGAATCTTGAGCCACAAACAGTGCTTGCAATTACACTGTTTAATTTCTACGAGTGCCTTATGAAAAGGTTTTACATTTTTTATAAGTGAAAATATACATATAACTGCTGGTCAGTTTCGGCTTTTGTTTACAGTTGTATAAAGATTTTGTTTTTATATTTTCTACTGTTAATAATGGATCCTTTGAATTGGCGGGGCCAGAAAGAATGCTGAAAACTCCCAGGAATACTGCTTTGTATCCTTGATAAAGAGTACATGTGGAATAGTTTGTCTTTATTTACCAGTAACAGGGCCTGTTATTTTCATCCTGCAGTCAAAATCTGTCCTTGAGTTACTCAAAAGTTTACACACACTGAGCAGTGCTAGCTCCTCACAGTTGGTATCTGGATTCAGATATTACATTAAACCATAAATTGGTTTGTTTACTCTGTGACTAAATGTCACATGTGAGCAGAACCATTGGAGTTAGCACAGAATTGCTCAACACAATACAGCTATTTGTAGCTTATTGTTGCACCAAAGAAAGGATAGCATTTATTCATTTACGCATTGTCTGAAAAAGCTGGAGATATGATCGCAAAGATTACTAAATGTGTTATTGTATGACATGGTTTTTGTATGACATGGCTTAGTACTGGTTGCGTACCCAAGCTGTAAAATAAACTGTACATTAAGAACAGACCTTCTAAAACAGGTGTCAAACTCAAATTTCATTCAGGGCCACATCAGGCCTTCAATGAGTTTGACCTCAAGGGGCTGGAGTGGGCATGGCCAGCATGACATCACTCATGTCAGGGGCACCTGTGGTGGGGGCACCAAGTGCTCTGCCGGTGAAAACGGGCTCCCGGGCCGTGTTTTTGGCTTCAATGGTCGAAAATGGGAGTCTGGGACAGCTGCGCATAGCCCTCCCGAGCTCTGTTTTCACTGGCAGAGGCACCGCAGGTTGGTCCTTCACTGTTTCCAGGGCAGCCCCTCAGGGATATCTAAGTACCCAGGCCACGGACCTTGAGTTTGACATCCCTGTTCTAAAATCATGTAGAAACATTCATGAATCATTCATTCTGATTTTTATTATACTGCTTACCTTTGTTAATTATTGAATACTGATTTGATTTTAAGTGCTATATTGATATAAGGACATCCACATGCAATACTAATCAAATGTCACTTTGAAATTTCTAATTCAGTTTTATACAACCTGTAAACCTCTGATGCCTTTTTAGCTCTTTTTCCTAGCTGGTGCTTTCATATAGCTCTTGAAATAAATAAACAAACAATAAAAGGAAACTCAACTTACTTTTCAGGGTTTTAAGGAGCAGTCAGGTTCTCTCAAGCAGTAAACATTATAATCTAGATACTAGCTTCCAGAATCCTCAATGTATACCATCCCCCCAAAAAACAGTTTATTTCTCCATGACAAAACTGTTAGATTTTATTAAATTTAATTACATTTATGAACAAAATGAAATTGAGAGAAGAATGGCTGGTCTTATTTACAATTCTTGGTGTAAAACAGTATTTGTAAAGGACTAAGGTACTAATTTCTGAACATTCTGTCTTCCAGTAATTTGGGTTTTAATCCAGGAGACATGGATTAATTTCCATAAATAACACTAGTAGACTTCCCTCCTCCTTAAATCTTCAAATCCACCCTTCAGAACCCATTACTTTATTCTTTAAGGGGAACATTTCAATTTTGGAATTGGGATGTTCTGATGGAGAATTAGGTTATTTTGCCTAGCTGCAGCCATTTTTGCCACTGTTTTTGCATTCTTGACTAATATCAGAAGCATATATGCTCCTATCACTTATACACTTATACACAGCAGTAAACTCTTACTGACTAGATTAAGGCATAACTTCTGAATGACTCAGGTCCATAACACTGGAAGATGCATACTCTTACCTGTAATATATTACCTCTGTTAAAATAACTAATAAATTATCTTTACTTTTGTTTTATCACTGGCTGAAATACCAGGAAGCTCTTTTTAAATTTCAGTTTATGTTTGCATTGGGGAAGAAAATCAGTTGAATTCCCCTCCAGCTTATAATTAACTTTAAGGCTGATTCAGCATGTCTCTACACATCCCAACAGCATTAATACAGATGTTCCTGATGAATTTTAATTACCATTCTGCTTGAGTCAAGCTGTTTCACTGCTGTTGGATATGATGTTGAAAATATTGCTTTCTGCAAGATGAATGGATATTCACATCAGGCACAAAAACTGTATGCATTTTTACTCCTAAAATCACGTTTCATAGAACAAGGCTGGTAAAAATGTAGCCAGCTTATGTGAACCTAACTGCTGTTGTTAATTTAAAGTTCAAGAACATTGGTTCAATAAATGTTTGTGCTCTTTTATAATATTGTAGAGTGCATGTAACAATTTTGTACTTTTCTGTATTTTTTATTTTCGTTAAAAAATAGCAATTCATTTAAATAGGGGTATTGTACAGACAAAGCCTTTATGTGTGTTTTGCACTTCGTACCAAAACAAATGAATATACTGAAGCTCGTGTTCTAAAGACAGGTGAATCCTATTAAATAAATTTTGAAACCATCCCACTCATTGCTGAATATTATTGTTTGGAAACCTACCTAATGCAGACGGAAGTATATTGTTAGATCATCTACCTATGTGTTTTGTTTCTTTTCATTTTGTCAGTCATGCACTTTAGGAGATGCAAAAAGATCAGGGAACTTCAGAGCATCTATTACATTTTTCCCTTCAAATTATTTGGTCCAAAAATTTGAATTTATATGGAAATTTATATTGAATTTATATTTATTTATATGGAAATGAGCAGCATTTATAAAAATACGCCTTCAAAAGTTTGTTGTTGCTGGTCATTTATATTTTCCTAATGCAAAGTTTTCTGCTAAGAAAGCCAGACTGGTGTAATGGTTAAGGCATTAAGTTAGGAACTGGGCTACTATGAGTTCTAGTTCTGCCTTAGCACAAAGCCAACAGGGTGACCTTGAGCCAGTCATTTTCTCTCACCCCTTGGAAGGAGGCAATAGCAAAATCACTTCTGAAATCTTCTAAAACTGCAGGGACCTATCCAGGCAGTCACCAGAAGTCATCATGGACTCAAAGGTGCCAAAACAGCAACTAAGTGTATGTTAGTGTAGAACAAGGGTCTTCAAACTTGACAGCTTTAAGACTTGTGGACTTCAACTCCCAGAATTCCTGAGCTAACATGACTGGAGGAGGAATTCTGGGAGTTGAAGTCCACAAGTCTTAAAGCTGTCAAGTTTGAAGACCCCTGGTGTAGAATATACAATGCACATTCTCTTGCCTAGTTTTGGTTCATGAGAGCACATGAATGTACAAGCCCTTGACTTATAATCACAATGGGGAATCTAAATTTCCACTGCTAAGCAATGTACCTGTTAAGTTGTGCCCGATTTTATGACCTTTTTTGCCATGGTCGTTAAGCAAATCACTGCAGTTAAATGAATCATGCAGTCATTAGGTGAGTCCAAATTTCCCCCCTCTTGTCGGTAGCTGGCCGGGAAGGTCACAAATGGTGATCACATGACCCCAGGATACAGCAACTGTCATAAATACATGTTGGTTTCCAAGTGCCAGGATTTTGGTCACATGACAATCATGGGACAAGTGACTCTTTGCAAATCACTTTTTTCAGTGCCACTGTGACCTTGAACGGTTGATAAATGAATGGGTCTAAGTCAAATGGTTGTAAATTTTGAACCACTTCCTATAATACATTGCATACCTAAATACTTTAATCTTGTTCCCATATTTTTAATAGTATTAGTGAGAACATTCTGGCCATCACCTCAATTTTATGATGACTGGGCAAGTCACCTAAATTTATAATAGGGAGCAAAAGTAAGTGAGGGTTACATTTTTTGTGCTACTGTGGTTCTCACAATGCTTCAGCTACTCCACAGAAGTTAAGAGAGATTCAAAATACCAATTTGATCTTAAAAATAAACAGACAATGATTACAAAGAAGCCTGTGAAAGCAACAATATTACTAAATCAATGGGATGAGTGACTTCATTATCTCATTCCATTTCAAAATTGGAGAATTATAATTTGTACAAGTTCAATTTTGGAATACAATTCAATTTTTGAAATGTTCTGGCTTTAAGGATTAAGGCTTATTAACACAGAGAAAGAAATATAAATACAGTATATATTTTAAACAGTTACAAATACTTCCTGTATCTCTAAAAATGATCAACCAAAAACTGAACTTCATTTCCCAGTTCAGTTGAACACACTGAAGCAGCTTCTCTTCTGCCTTCTCTTTTGGCACATTAATATTTTATTTTTCTCCCTTGATCCAAAAGCACTCCTTGTTTTCTTTCCAAGAAGAGTCTTCTTCATACACCTCCTGTAAGCAAAGAACATCATGGGCAAGAGAATTGTGTTACAAAGCTAACTCTTTTATCTGAGGTGGCACAGTTGTTAGAGTGCAGTACTGCAGTACTTCTGTTGACTGTCAGCTGCCTGCAATTTGGCAGATCGAATCCCACCAGACTCAAGGTTGATTCAGCCTTCCATCCTTGGGTAAAAGGAGGACCCAAACTGTTGTGGGCAATAGGCTGACTCTGTAAACCACTTAGAGAAAACTGTAAAGCACTGTGAAGTGGTATATAAGTCTTAAGTGCTATTGCTATCTGCTGCACTGAATGCAGCAGGTTCATTTTTTTTCCTAGCTTACCATCAGGGCTGAATTAAAATATGAAAAAAATGTAGATACAATTCAGAATAAGCAGATATTTTCCAAAGGAGCCTTGACATTTATAGAAACAGCTTGAGGACCAGTCTGATCAGATAGGAAAAAGTTGGCATTTGTGTCCCATGCAGACTTTCTTTCCTGGGGCCCAAGCAATATGTCTTTGTTTATGTGTATCGATTATCTGGATCAAATCTATTAAATATAAACCTCTAGAGACTGCTAAACATATATAAAGACTGCTAAACATCAATCCAGGGGGATATCTCCAAAGGATCAGTAGAAAGTATGCACATTATAGAGGAACACAAATTCAAAATGTCAAATTGCTGTCAAGGACGTTTGCACCTGCTGTCCTCTTAAATGGATGAAGGTTGTTTAAACCAATATTTCCAATCTTAGCAAATATAAAGTATGTGGACTTCAACTCCCAGAATTTCTCAGCGAACAAACTGGCTGCAGAATTCTGAAAATAAAATCCACATGTAGTTGATATAGTTGACAAACTGGTTTAGACTAGCTACTGGTTAGACTTAAGTTGCCCAAAGAACTGAAGAGAGATGGTTGCTTTTAAATATTGCTTTTCGTAAAATGAATGGATATTCACATCGGGCACAAAAATGGTACACGTTTTTATTCCTGGAATCAAGTTTCATAGAACAAGGCTGGCAAAAATGGAATGGAATACAATACAATAATGGAGTAGAGTATAAACAGAATAGAATAGAAATAGAATAGAATAATGGAGTAGAGTAGAGTAGAGTAGAGTAGAGTAGAGTAGAGTAGAGTAGAGTAGAGTAGAGTAGAATAGAATAATGGAGTGGGGTGGGGTGGGGTGGAGTGGAGTGAATAGAGTAGAATAGAGTAGAATAGAGTAGAATTCTTTATTGGCCAAGTGTGATTGGACACACAAGGAATGTTTCTTCGGTGCATAAGCTCTGGTTAATTTAAAATTCAAGCACATTGGTTCAATAAATAATAGTTCTTTTATAATATAGAATATTACAAGAGTTCTTATCATATTATATTATAAGAATACTATTTTAAATATCTGGTCCCTTTTGAACCTCCACTTAGAAAACTGGAATTTTATAGTGTCAGAAAACAGCAGAGGAAGAAGAATCATTCACCATAGCGAAAGCCTGCCCTCAACTCTGCAGGGGGAAGCCATACCATACCATGCCCTAGGCCTATGTAGGCCTCAAGGTGATATGGGTGGCAAACAAACTTGACAATTAAAATAAATAGGTTCTGGGAAGCTGCCCTGTGGACCACGTGATGTTCGGCATTGCACTCCTTTTTCAAAACAAAAGTCCGGAAACGCACATACCTTTTTCCATATGGGGACAGTCGCTTTTAAAGTATTGATGCAATATTGCAAGGCAGCGAGAGACTCTGCTCGGTGAGGGGAAGAGATGGCTACAATCACGCTGGCTTCACTAATGGGAACCAAACTAAAGAGAACGTGAAAAGTAACAATTAGCTGTGGCTTTTAGCCACATTAGTGTAATCTTTCAAGGACAAAATAAAGGCCTTGTTGTCAACTACTACACGGGCATAGATAATAAACAAGAGGGGCCATGTTCTAGGAAGATCAAATTAGAGGAGCTGAACGTCTCATGATTATGTGTTCCAAGGAAAGATTCAACAGGAAAACAAATTAAGGAGAACTAGAGAAGAGACCATCTGCAATAACAGCCTGATGCAATCATTTAGATCCGGGAGAGTTAAAGCAGAGCCTCTTTTCCAAAGAGTTTCAAGGTAGAAATAATCCACTACCCCAAATAACGTTTTAGGGATAATCTGGAGCTCCTGTCAGTCATTATTCCATCCCCTATAAAAGTAGTCCTCGACTTATGACAACAATTGAGCCCAAAATTTATGTTGCTAAGTGAGACATTTGTTAAGTGAGTTTTGCCCCATTTCATGAACTTTCTTGCCACCGTTGTTAAATGAATCACTGTAGTTGATAAGTTAGTAACCCGGCTGTTAAGCAAATCTGGCTTCCCCATTGTCTAAGCTTGTCAAAAGGTTGCAAAAGGTGACCACGTGACTCCGGGACACAGCAATGGTCATAAGTATGAACCAGTTGCCAAGCATCTGAATTTTGATTAAATGACTACGGAGATGCTACAAAGATTGTAACTGTGAAAAATGGCCCTAAGTCACTTTTTTCAGTGCCATTGTAACTTTGAAAGGTCACTAAATGAACTGTTGTAAGTCGAGGACTACCTGTAACATATAAACCAGGGGAAATAAAAAATAAAAATAGTAACACACTGACAAGAAATTAAAATGTCAAAAAAGTATACACGGATGTTACAGGGATCAAATAGCACAAATTATATTAGACATATAATCAACAGATGTATAATTGAAATTTAAAAAGAGACATGAAGCAATCGGCTCTTCGAAAGCTCCATTATTTTTACTCCATCTCTGCATTTAATAAAAAAAAAAACATAATACGTAAATGTCTTGGTTCTGAAAAACAGAGGTGGGCAACCCTTAGATTTTGGACTATGACTCTTATATGTTCTAAGGTAAATTGTGCAAGCAATTGCCAATTGCAGTTCAAAACATCTGGAAATCAAAAAAGCTGCTTTTCTTTTGTACAAAAGAAAAATAAGCTAAGTAAGTGTTAACATAAGCATGAAATACACGTCATGGCCGTGTTTCAACTAGTTAGTGGCTGCCAATTAGGCTGAAATCTAACACTGTACTTTCCAAAATAGAGATCAGAATGATTATTCCCGGTTGTCCTAGCTTAGCAACCCCAATTGGAACCAACTCCGTTGCAAAGTGCTACAGTTGCTAAGCAAAATATCACAATCGCACTGAACTTACAACTTCAACTCGGCCTCAGTTAAGAAATCACTGTGGTCATAAAGCAAATCCATCTGAACCGAAAGTACATATAAGTTATAAATAAAAACCAACACAAACCACCACTGCAGCAATTAAGGAGACAGGGCAGGATAAGGAATTGAAGACTTCAAAAGATAATGAAACACACACAGGATACCAGAACTCAGATAAAACTTGACAAACCAAAATAATTCACACTTTGCTTCCAGTAAGGAGCTGTGCACAAACACTCTCTTTACCCTGTTTTCCCAGCTGCAGCTAATGAAGGGAATCAGGGCCTTTTTCTCCCCCATAACCCACGTTGCTCCCTTATCCGTTCCTCCCTGCATGCCCTAGGATGAAGAGGGGTGGACCTAGGTCTTCCTCTAAATGCCTAGCCAGACTGTGCCCTTCCCCAGTTTCTTCCCCAGCCACCAGAGCCACACTCCCACTCCGTCAGCTGTTCCACTTCTCCCTCGGAATCAGATTCCAACAGGGGCCTGACAGCCCTGATCTATGCAGCACCTGAGGGCTGATATCCTAAAGATACATCCGGCCATGCATGAAAAAACGTGGTTCCTTGAAAGGGATATATAGGATTTTACCTGAGCAGTACTCCCCCCCATAAAGGGATTTCTCTATTTTTATAGTGTATTATAATATACTGTCATTTAATGTATCTAGAGATACTGGATATGTGCAGTGTCATTCCGCAGCAGACTTGATAACCTCAAGTAAAATCTGTTCTGTGGTTCACCAAGGCTTCCCAAAACCTTTTTTCCCAAATGTAAGGAGATAAGGAGGAATGGGAGTGTTGAAGTGTTGTAATGGTGTCCAATCTACTCTTCATCCATCAGAAATACACCCTTTGAAAGCAGAAGATTCAAGCATCATCAACATCAAAACAAAATCCACTTTTCCTGGATTGAGGGCAACAGTTAGTTCTGTGAGGCTGAGCTTAGCATTTAGAAAACAGGCTGCTCAGGAAAACAGAACTCTCAGGGAAGTAAGCAGCACAAGATCCAAAGGTGACGTATACGTAAATATTTAACACTCCATGTTAATAGGGAGAAAAAAAATGCCACATCTCTTAGCCATCGCTGCAAAAAAAATGTTTGCATCATCTGCGGAACAAACAAACCAATTTTTTTTATCAAATGATGTATTTGAAAAGAGATGCCCTTTAGAAAGTGAGCAGCTCTGCTCTAAAACAGTTCTCAAATTTAGCTTGCAATTCATCTATACACTGTACATTCATTTCAGTTGGGGTATTTTGCATCTCATTTTTTTTTCTCCCATGAACCACAACATAATAAAGTCTAAATCTAATTACAAGCTGCACCATTGCCAATGTTCAGAACAAACAAGGATCAGAGTTCAGAGACAGTACCAAACCCTCAAATGTAACCCTTAATTGGAATGAGGAATCAAGCATGAAATGTGGATGTAATGTCCGTCTGAGAGCTGCCGTAAGAGTAAGATGGAATTAAGTTTGCTATGAGGCGACTTTCTCCATATGGCCTCATCCAGAATGAAGGCTCAGATGCTTGTCCACAAATCTGTCTCTATCAAATTCACAAGCACAAAATCTTAATTAAATAAATTAAATTAAATATGCTTTGAGTGTATTTACCCAAGTCGATGATGTATTGCTATATGCTTCACGGAAGGCCATTTTAATCTAATATCTTTGCATATTTTCTTCGCTTCAGCTTCTGCCATTGTTGTGTAGGCTTCATATTCTAACTGTACGACTTTTTTCCCTTCAAAGTTATTTCTTGTAGTGCCTGAAACAAAAGGACAACCCTTGAAAGACATTCTGGACTGGTGAGATGTTTAGCTTGACAGAAGGCTAAATTTAAGAACTTTATCAATAGGAAATTAAGTTTCTCTTTATGCTAAGCGTGGTTTTACCTAAGAGCCGTGGTGGCATAATGGTTAGAATGCAGTACTGCAGGCTAATTCTGCTGATTGCCAGCTACCTGCAATTTGGTAATTTGAATCTCACCAGGCTCAAGGTTGACTCAGCCTTCCATCCTTCCAAGGTTGGTCAAATGAGGACCCAGATTGTTGGGGGTAATATGCCCATTTTTTTCAAGATAAGATACATAAGATGCACTATGTGTTATCTGAGATCTCTCAAATCAACTATATGCGTGTATAATTAAAGTGAAGCCCTCAAAAGCACACAACCCATGTGCAACATCAAGACTTGTTTTGTGTATATGGATGCCCCACTTTCCTAGCAGTGACAATTCTCAGAGCTGGCAGAACCATAAGCTCCATTTTATTACTCTGTAAATGATTCCAATCCTCAAGGTTAAGAACCTTTTTTTTCTTAAGTTTGGATGCCTTTTCTTGTTCTAAGCTTGGTCTATGACAGCCTTGTTCCGTTGGCTCCTACAACCGCTTATCTAATCTTCAATCAAGTTTTCTTTAAAAAAAAATCTGTGAGTTCAGCTCTGATTAAGAGTTTTATGTGTCAGACCTACCTACAAAGAAAGATACAGCTCCACAGCAGGGAGAAATGACCAGTGCTGCTACTTCATCTAATGAGAGCTTCTCAGATTTCAATTGAATCACGTCCTTGGGTTCATCCTCAGTTTCATTCATGATTTCTCTAGAAGTAAAGGGTGATACAATGATTAAATTGCAAGTTTCTCCTTCCTTGGCTATGGAGATTAAATTACATCACAAATTATAAGCCAGATTACTGCCTTATTTATTCACTCATTTTTAACCCACCTTTATTATTTTTATGAACAACTCAAGTGAACATAATTAATACTAATTTTATCCTAAGGCAGGACTAGAAGTCTCCTGTTTCTAGCCTGGTGCCTTACCCACTATTTTAATTAATTAACTTAATTAAATTAAAATAAATTACTTAATTCATATTCTTCAAAGAAATATTATAGTCTCTTAACAAACGGATTTTATGGATCTTTTCTGGTCTGAGTTCAGACCAGAATCCTAATAAAGGAGAATATTTGTAGCTCAGGGTTGAAATGAGAGGTCCTTGGTGGTCTCTGAGCTCACTTGTTTTCTTGCAGACATATTATTACCCAAAGTAGATAACACCATCAGGCTAGTCAATGGGGTGGCATAAGATCTAAAAGTGTTTCCAAATTATTTTTTAAATGTGCAATCCTATTGTCCAATCCGGAGCCCTTCCGTTGTGCTTTCCCTCCCATCCTCTCTAGATCAGCTGTTGCCAACCGGTGGGCCGCGGCCCACTCTTGGGCCATGAGAAAATTTTGGCGGTCCACAGAGAAATCTCACCCCCAGAGCATCCCTACAAAGCAATTAATGCAGGCTGCGCAGAAACACAACGCTGCTCCGCCCACATGGCCCGCAGGAACCCTCCCCGCCCACTCACTCCTTTCCGGGTAAACTTCCTGCTAAATTGCTATTTTTCCTTTTTCTGATCATCATCTGTTCTGTTGTGCCGGGAGATTTAAATTAGCTAGGAAGCAGGAAATGGTTGGATTTCTTGCTTTCTAGCTAGTCTTTAGATCTTCAGCTCAGCACAGCCAAACCTCCCTTAGGACTGAAGGTTTGCTTGCAAGCAAATTCAGTGCAGACTCACGGCAAGCAAATTTCAGAGACTGAGCTAGCCGATGGCAGATAGATAGATCACTGAATGATTCTGTGAGCAACTCAATCTGCCTGCTTTGCTTGATTTTTGGTAAAAGTTGCTCTTTTTTAAATAAAAAATTCAATATTTACATGCATGGTGTGTTGTGAGTTAATTTTGTGAGTTTCCTTGCAAGCAAATTTTATGTGACAGACTGAGCTAGCCAATGACAGATAGATAGATCTCTGAATGAATCTATGATTCTGTGAGCAACTCAATCCGCCTACCTGCTTTGCCTGATTTTGGGTAAAAGTTGCTCTTTTTTAATAAAAAAATCAATATTTATATAAATATTTATATCTACATACAAGCCATGCCCAGCCAGTCACATGATCACCAAGCCACACCCACAAATTAGGCCACACCCACAGAACCGGTTAGTGGTCCCTGGGATCTAAAATTATGAGTTTGGTGGTCCCTGAGGTCCAAAAGGTTGGCGACCCCTGCTCTAGATAATATCGACTATGATCATGTCTGGCAATTCTGGGAGTTATACCCATGATCAGTTGGGGGTTGAGGTTTAAGTTATTCTCCATGAATATATTTTCAATAAATGTCATTACAATGTTATTGGTTCATTTAGGTAGCACGTTAGAACTGATGTCCAAAAGCTATATCAGACCGTGCAGAAAAAGACATAGCTGCTCGAACCACATTTTGGAGACCAAACTCAAAGCTTTCTAGAGTAACATCAGCTTGATACTTCTCCTTCTCCATCATCATCATCGTTCTCCTCATCAAGTTTCCAGATTCAATATTTTAGCAAAACACCAACACATACCTGTGAGTATCTTTCTAGAGCTAACCTCCACTAAGAGGTGGGATGATGGCAACTTCGTCCCCTGTGTGGAGGGTGAACTGCTGATCCCCAAGGGGGACGTACTCCTGACAAATGGCAAAGATAACTTGATCTTCGATATCAGCAAGACTGAAGGAAACATAAAGATTAATCATTGATCTGCTTCTACAACAGATCCCTGACTTTTTTGGAATGGATTCTGCTTGACGTACATTGAGGATCTCACAAAATGTACATGGGCGGGGTCTCCATCCCCAAGATGGCTACTGAGTCAATTAAAACCAGTCACAAAGCTCTGATTTTTTCAGAAAAAGACTTATTACTTGCTATCTCTTCTAGCTTCCTCTTTTGCGGAACGTTCCAGAAAATCCCAGCAAATCTTTCCTCTTTCCTTGGCCAGGTTTCTATCTCAGAGAGACAAGATTTCTTTCCCTAACTTTTATTTTGTGAGGTTTATGGAATCCATTTACGAGTCCAGACAAAAGTACTGCTGGAGGATTGGCAATATTCCAAATTCCATTATTTATTTATATATTTGTCTTAGTTAAACCAATTCCATATAGAAAGTCAGTTGAATAAAAGACATGGCAGTGGGGGGTACATTACTGGCCATTCAGGGGTTATGTGGCTTTGCACAGCTTTATCCAAGGTATCACTTGTGCTATTTCCTGGATCAGGAAGCCCTATAGACTCACCTCAGACCTCTTTAAACTTCAATTAGTCCAGAATGCAGTTGGAAAACAAAGAAATACATGTTCCCCCATAATGCATCTTTGCTCAACAAGGCTGCATTGTCTGCCAGATTGCTTCTTATGCCTTCCCAGGTTCTGTCATCATCTACGGAATCCTACATGACACAGGACCCGCTATCTCCCATTGGGTTTGCCTGGTCAGTCTAAGCCAGGGATCTCCAATGCCCCATGCTAGCTGGGGAATTCTGGGAGTTGAAGTCCACAAGTCTTAAAGTTGCCAAGTTTGGAGGTCCCTGGTCTAAGCTGACAAGGCCAGCACACTTTGGGTCCCTTCAACTAGACAATGTCATTTTCCCCCAATTGTGAGCCAGAAGTGTGGCTTTTATGTTGCAACACCTACCCTCAGGAATGACATTCCAACCCTGATGGCTGACTGTTCTTTTGAAGCCCTGGGCTAGATTGCCTGGAGCTGCTTGTGGGCCATGTCTGCATTTTTTTTAAAAAAAATTTTTTTGTCATTTTGTATTTTTCTTTTTACTTGATGGCAGAATTGGGGAGGGTATGGGCAAGGATGACTTGGTTTGCTCTGCTTCTTGGTCACCATAGAAGATGACAATGGCGTGTCGTGACACTAAAGTTGCAATTCTGTGTGCAAGAATTGCAAGAGTGAGCAATTACCAAAACTGCACAGCCCTATACTGTAAGAGCATAAGGAAAGTATCAATTACCGATACAAGTCACCATACCTTGAATGTCTCTTGACAATTTCTCTCCACAGCTGCAGTGAGGTTATTTGTTGGGGTACAGAAATGGTCTCTGTACGCAGCCCTGCTAATTCAGCACTTCTGGCAAAATACAGCACTGTGACCTGTTTTCAAGCAGTAGGTAAAAATGTTTTAACATTTAGCCCAACTCCGATTTAAGCCCATAAGGATTTCATTTATATTCCATTGTAACTAAAATCAACACATTAAAACTTCAGATTTGGAACAGCGTGTAAGTCAAAGTAACGGACACATTCAAACCTACAAGGAACGGGTTTCTGAAATATAAGGAGAATAACATACACCTGTATGTACACTGTAAAAGGTCCTGCCCCAATGAATTAAAAAAAATGAATGTCCTCAAAAGAAAGAGTACAATCACCCAAAAATGGAAGCAAAAATTTTGAAAGACTTTTTGACCGTTAGAGGTGACTGCAATGGGCTGTGAGAATGACTTTGGGAGAAGGATCTACTGTCTAAACCAGGGGTCTCCAACCTTGGCAACTTTAAGACTTGTGGACTTCAACTCCCAGAATTCTGGGAGTTGAAGACCACAAGTCTTAAAGTTGCCAAGGTTGGAGACCCCTAGTGGTTAGACAAGAATGGGAATGGTGACATCTCAGAAAATTCCTCCCTAGTTCTCTAGAAAGTAAAGACAAGGGAGATAAGTGCTTTCAGACCTGTGAGATTCTGTTAATCTTATAATAAAGGTTGTGTTAATATTCATGGTGGGTTGGACTATTCTAATGAACTGACGGTGACAGGAAGGAAGCTTTGTTCCATATGTGGCCTTATCTCAGCCTCATAGAAGGCAAAGCATTTCAAAATTCAATTTGCAATTATTCTGTTTCCATACAATTTAAGGCAGGGAGCTTTAAAAAACCAAGTTGGCAATCATAATTATTTACTTCCTCATGATGGATACCTCTGATTTAATGTATCATTGATATCCCACAGCAGGAGGGGGGGAAATCTTCCAAATGCTCCATCTCCCAACTCCCATGAGCCCCAACTAATCAAAGGCAAAGGAACTGAAAACCCCTCTTTGCTATTACAAGCCCGGCAAGAACTAAAATTACTCCACAAATGCAGTTCATCCTGAATGGGTACATAAGAGAGTTGTCAAACAAGTTTTAAAGGCTCTCTAGAAATTAGAAACTTAAATGTTCCAGCTGGTTTATTCATCAAAGCCTCCAGGTTATCAAATGACAGGTAGGTAACTTCAGAAAAATGTACAACCTTAACAGCAAATATAACAAAAGTTCTAGCTGGACTTCTAGCACCACCAAATTCATTGAATCCCACTAAAGATAAAATTACTTTTAAAAACTCCAAACCATTCTGTTAGAATCAGAGTGAGTCACCAAGGAGTACAATTAAGCTGCATTAAAAAGTAGAATAATGAGTCAAAAAGAAAAGTGCTCAGAATTACAAGTGCTTATGAAATAAATCCATGGGTGGTTCAGCATTTCAAAATGCAGGCAGACCTACAGTCAGTGGCCTCCAAAGTGGATATATACAAGAAATATTAGAAGGTCTATTATCCAATTCCCTCCCCTCCAGAAGTTGAACTAATCCACGAAGCTACTCAATCCACAGAATATCTCTCTATATGCGCACGTGTTAAAATGTACACATTAGTACAGTGCTACAAGCACGTTATGTATAAGAAATCATACATAAAAGTGCACGCTCAGTATTTTTACTAATAGGATACACGATCGATAACGTTTGGAGAGCACTGTATATTGGACGGGCAAGCGCCCATCATCCTGAACTGGCCGGAGCTAATGGGAGTCGAGGTTGTTGCGAAATAAGAGGTTGCTGAGCTTGGTCCAAAGTCATTTCAGAGAAAAGCCGGGACACGCATTGCACACACGGCCGTGTTTGAACAAAATGAAAATAAAAATAAAAAATCCCGCGCAGGGGGCCCGGCCCTCAGTGGGGACCCAGTTGTGTCTCTCTTTCCCCACAGAGGATGCGGCTTTGGGACAAACTGGGACTCCGGGAGCTTCTGCAGGTCTGCGCCTTTCAGGGGTGCCTATCTAAGCAGAAAAAGAGTCACGCGCAGGTTTCACTCCGGCTAAAGAGAGCCGAGCCGGGCAGGGCCGATTGCAAAGTTGGCGTACCTCGCAGCTCATCGATGCGCCGACCCGGGGAGGCCCCGAAACAGATCGCCCTTTCTCTGCTAGCGACTATTTGTGTGTGCGCGCAATTGCGACGGGCCCAGGAGCAGTTGCGGCTCCAAAAGGCCCGGCGCTCTCCGCCGCCACTCGCTTTCTTAAGCCAACCGCTTTGCACCACACCCCCCAAACAGCTCCACCTTTCGGGGGTTGGCTCTCCAGAGTGAGGGTGTGCGTGCGCGGCTTCGACACGAGAGTCGGTTCTAGTTTGAAAATAAGTCGGGGACCTTTGTGGTGGTGGCGGCGGTTGTTTTGCAAGTTTGCAAAACCTTTAAAATGCATCTTCACAAGCCCCTGGGGTTGTATTGAACTCAAGACTTTTTTGGGGGGAAAAACCCTCGTAATTGCACTGTAAAATAATCTGAGAGAATCGGTTCCCGTAAAATGGATCAATTGATTCGCAAGAGATTCATAAAGCAGCTTTGACCCGGGCCTGCGAATTACAGGACTGCATGCGACTACAATTCCTAGAATCCTTCGCCTACGCAAGTCCCGTGTTTGCAAGGAAGCCTGGGAATTGTAGTTCCAAAGCGCACCGAAAGGGCGCTAGCATCGGAAGGAGGTTTTACTTTCGCTGGGTGCCTTGAGCTACGGTACGCATCGCCTCCAACAGTCACAACCAAATGGATCGGAAAGCTGTGCCAGGCATGCCTAAGGATTAACCTGGATAGGGATTAATTAAATGAGGCGTTCACTAAAATGCAAACAACAAGCGGTAGCTCCATTCATTATTTCTCTCTGCAGAGAAATCACAAGATCTTAAACAGCTAATACAACTTGGCAAGTTTAAGACTTGTGGACTTCAACTCCCAGAATTCCTGAGCTAACATGACTGGAAGAGGAATTCTGGGAATTGAAGTCCACAAGTCTTAAAGCTGTCAAGTTTGAAGACCCCTGAGCTAATGTCAGCCTATTACATGGAAATTAAGATAAGCTCAGACCCAATTCAGAGTTGCAAGGAAGGCGGATTTTCATCCCAGATAACAGATAATCAGAGTTGGAAGGGACCTTATAGGTCATCTAGTCCAACCCCCAAATGGCAGTCCAATGTCTTCTTGAAGGTCTCAAGTGATGGCGCTCCCACAACTTTGAGGGGAAGCTGCTCCATTGGTTGATTGTTCTTACTGTCAGAAAGTTTCTCCTTATTTCCAAGTTAAATCTCTCCTTGATCAGTTTCCATCCATTATTCCTTGTTTGGCCTTTGGGTGCTTTAGAAAATAGCTTGACCCCTTCCTCTCTCTGGCAGCCCCTCAAATATTGGAAGACTGGTATCATGTCTCCCCTGGTCCTTCTCTTCACTAGACTCCAGTCCCCTAATCATCCTGGTTGCTCGTCCCAAAATTGCTCAAGTACAGCAGCCTTCGGGGAAACTACATTGCTCCCAATTCTTAGTTCCTCTGAATTTTTCTACACACTTTAAATCAGTGCGTAGAAAAATCCCCCATGTCTGGGGAATTCTGCAAGTTGAAGTCCACACTGGTGGCTAAGAT